ATGTACACTGTTTTAAGGTACAGTGCTGTCCAAGTAATTACATGTATTGTACATGTACAATGTACACATGTCCGTACATGTATACATGTATTGGTACATTGTACAGTGTACAAAATGTATGTACGTGATGTATAGTACATGTACATGTATGTGTACAGGTACAGGTATGCACCAATAGGCATGATAGGGCTTGATATGCCTGTATCTCTTTTTAAAGAGATACTGTTTGTTTCTTGCACTGTGGACGAATTTTACTATTTATAAGATTAAGAAGTTTCCAGACATACTAGTAGTGGTAGTAAATTGAACAGATTTTCCATAAATTTACAGGCATTTGTGATTCTTTGTAAAACACAATGAAATGGGGAGCCTACGTGTCTATGTACTGTACCGGTACAATATTAAAATGAAAGCAAATTGTGAATGCGTATCGTGCATGTGTGTATGGGCTCTTTTCTAAAAGCTTGTGTCAAGGAACAGGCAGGACCCTGTCTAGCAAACAGTCAGAGAGCGCACTTAGAAATCTTGTTGGTATTAGGCCTTCCCAAACACCGTGTACAGTGAACCGCTCACAAACACAGCGGCAGCGCGAATAAATGCGCAAGCTATCAATCACGGGCACGTTGTTTGTACTCGTACTCTAGCGGCCATGTATTCGTGCGCTGCTTGTTTGCACAGCGCGCATGTGGCTCTGAATTTGCGGCTATGGAGCCTTCCTGGAACAGCTTACATTTACCCATCCCCCCCCCCCCCCCCCACTCTCTTCTTCCTATCATTCCTGAAACAAATCGCAAAACCTTCTTACGAAATCTTTCCCCTGGGGCCGAGACAAATTAATTTTCAACCATTAGGCATCAGCAGGCCAGTATCTGTGCAAACAATCTGCTACTTTTTTTCCACCAACTCCCCCCCCCCCCCCCCGTTCCCTCTTTTTTTGGCGGTTGCCTAGCAACCTGTTACATACGCGCTTTAATGCACACAGCCAGTTGAAAATTATGTGTTGTTTCTGCCACTGCCCTATTTCAAAAAATTGAAGCTGACATTTTTGCTTACACATGTACCAGTATACATGTACCGTGTTGGCACAAGCAGTGCATGTTTTTAGGGTTGATCCCCCCCCCCCCTCCCCCAAATGCTGCAATTCCCTATGAGCTCCGTGCACAAGTACCGGTACCCCATCAACGGCCAGAAAAGGAGAGTTGGGGGTGACCTAGACTGGTTCCCGGTCCATCCACTGCTTATTTCGAATGTATTGGAGGTGGGAATTAGTCTCGGAGACCTTTTTGCAAGTTAAATTGGAACGCACTCGCGCGCCGACGACACCTGACGCTCACACGAATACGCTGTGGCTAATAGCTTTGGCACATTCAGGAAGTCATGCGTACTTCACGCGCAAACAGTACACGCACGTTGTGTGTCCCGTCCCAGATCTCTCAAAAGAGGTAACAACGCGCCCTCTGTTGTTGGCGCACGGAGCCCATACAGGTACATGTACACGTATAAACCAGAACGACCAATGTTATGATGTTACTATAATTACTCGGCAGTCAAATTTTCTTTCCGTTTTATTTTCTAATTTTCTTTTGTAATTTTATAGTTAATTCCAGGTTGTTTTTCATATTTTGCACATTAACTTTTATATTATTTATTTTCTTTTTATGGGGGGGGGGGTTAAGTGAAAATGTATCCCAGATTTATATACTGTGTCTACTTGTCCAGTTGGCTTTTAATTGTGCATGCATATGTAAAAGTATGAAAATGAGTACACAAAAAAAAATCGCAGAATCTCTCTTTCCGGATATGAGAACATAAAGTAATGCCCTGCAGATCACAAAAGATCAGAAAATGTGGGCCTTTTTGATTAATTTTTGTTTCACCACATGGTGCTCATCAGGTAAGTCGTGCACTTGCTGTCTACAGTGCTTGGCTGTAATTAAAGCCGTTCGTGACCTAATGCAGCGAAGGATGTAAACATGTTCCATGTCCGTTATTGCAATTTGCTAATTGACAGAACACGATGGAAAAAAGCCCTGAATATACATTTTGTACGTGCGTACAAAGTACAAACATACATGTACATGTACATGTATCACACAGTGTATTGGGTATGTACCGGTGTAGCATGAATTTAGGTTTTATGAAATACGGACTCTTTGGTGGTATTGCGCATGCTCATGCATAGATAATTAGGAGAGGGACCGGTCATGTGAGAGGGTTTAACCAATAAAAGGGAAAAAGAGTCAGATTTTCATACGAGTCCGATTTTCATATGACACCGGTACCTTTAGTTTTAGGTCTACATGTTAAATGTAATGACGTTGTACATTTACCGTATGCACTTTCAAAATACAGTACATGTATGTGCATGTTTTATGCACATTAATATAATTGGAAGGACTGGTAGGTGGGTAATTTTTGCATATTTTGGAGGAAAAGTGAGAAATGTATACATGTACGTGTACCTAATTTATTGCATACACATGTACATGAACATGTTGTACATGTGTGCATGTGTACATGTACATTACAAGTATCCAAGACTAATGTTATCAGTGATTTTTTTTCCACTGCTAAAAAGCAGTGTAATTATAATTGAAATACAAAAAAAAAAAATTAAAATAAATAAGTAAAAATTCAATCGCTGATTCTCTGTGCCCCCAAACTTCTGGGTCATTCAGTTGACCAGAAACACGGTGTGTTTCTTTTTTTGGGGGGGGGGGGTTTACATTTTAAATCCTTTGGGGAAACAAACAAACAAGCAGCCCACCAAACCAATAAACAACCCAACCAGCCAACCAACAAACAAACAAACAAACAAAGTAATACTTCGCAACCCATCAACTCATGCAGTACTAAAACATGAAACTTTTGTTAAATCCCAATTTTTGGTACCTAATTACATGTGCATGTAGGTGGAACCATCGATCATTTTAGTTTTTTAATATGCTTGGCAGAGAATACAATGAAAAAGCCAAAGGTTTTATATTGATTGGGCTAAAAATAATTAACTGGGCTAAAAATAATTAACGTACATGTTCGTGTACGTATTTCTGCATTCATCAAAACACCAGATGGCGAAATAGTGTACCGGGCTTGAAAAACCTTGGCGCTATTGTTTCTAATTACGTCATCGCAGTGTTTATTATCTAAGTCACACATGACCTACATTTACGTGTGGGGGCTGTACGATTTTCACTTTTGGATGAAACAAGGCAGATGATCTGTGCGCAAGTCTATTGGGACAGTGACTAAATCCACAGTAAAAAATGTCCGTGCAATGATGTAAATTAAGAACAATTCACTTTTTTTAAAATACTCATTACTGCTCATTCGTAAGTTGTGCATAAAACATACAGTGGAACGCTGCTATACCGATCAACGCTTTACCGAACATTCGGCTATACCGAGCATCATCATTGGCTCCCGGTTTTAATGTACAAAATGTACCTAACATCGTTGTTGAAAAAAGTCAACAGATCAACAAACTAACCTACCAGACCTTGTACATGTATTAAACACTGTTTGGGTCACTTTTAATTCCCGAACATGAAACCACCCATGGTTACATCGCGTTTGAATGTTGAAGAGCGATAGATGACTATTATTTTCCCAAGGAATAAAAGGGAAAACCACCCATTACTAAAGTTTTGTGACAACTCCTCGTGCGGCGGCGGGGGATGTGAGTTGCCAGTTCAGTGACTTCACTATCGCTATACCGAACGATCGTTAGTACGAACACTTTCTGTGGATTCCACAGAAATCTTCCAAAACGGCCATGAGGATTTTGGAGGATTGAGGAGGTTTTAGTTGCCTCTGTCTCCTAAGCAAAAGACGTGCCCAACATATCAAAAATACACACATAGTTTGAAGTTTGAACTCAATTTTATTGATGTACTCATGCATTACTGTATGTACCGTACATAGTACGTACTTGTAATGGCAAATTACACAGGTCACATGTAGCAGGGACACAAACAACATGTCACACTACTTGACCCAAATTTATGGAATGACCCACATGTACAATGTACGTACATGCCATATGTACAATGTATCCTCACTTCTTGACAAACTTGAGGTGCAGTGTGTAAACCACAGTTGGAATGTACATGTACATGTACCGTATGTACCGTACAAAATTGGCTTTAATATTGTAAAAAAAGTTTGGATTTGTTGGTTTTTACACCTGGATTCCAAGAGGTGGATTGTTGTTTTGTACGTCTGTCCACTGCCAGCAATATTCTTTTCGCTGATAACGTGAGAGGGTCAATTAAAATCTAGCACAGGGTGATTATACATGTACATGTAGGTCTGTATATGTGTACACGTACATCAGGCAAAACATGGGTAGATCTTAAACATGTTAAACTAAAACAGAAGAAACTCCCAGGAAATTGCAACGGTGTTCCACTCGCATTCGCACAGTCTGCAAGCAAACTTGACACATGTAACGTTGTGGTCGCGTTTCAAATGTTATCCCATTACATGTACATGCTGTGCACATTATAATTAGTGCAGCAGAAAAACATGCATAACTTAGAATAGTACACGTGCGATAAACGTGGTACAATTCGCTTGGTACAATACGCTTTCTACCATATGGACTGTGCAACATGTTTGTTGCCATGGATCCATCAATCAGGCTCGAGGATTCAAGTTTGCTACATTAACATGTCACAAAAACCATACATGTACTGGTAGATGTACACGTATGTATGTCGCATACATACAGTCGACTCTTGTTATTTAACAAGGTCGATGGGACTAGCCAAATTACCTCTTTATAACAGGAATGTTGGTATAAAAGGACAGCGAAACAAAGAAACACAAAGAGAACCTGAGATTTGAGACCTCAGAATTTGCTCTTTATAAGCAGAACCTCTTTATAAAAGTGCTCTTTATAATGAGAGTCGACTGTATGTCTAAATTATGTATACATGTGTACCATTTGAATTACTGGTCTCTGCATGTAGTTAATTGTTTTGGTTTCATTTCCACAGGGAGCCAAGTGCACACCCTGCTTTGATGTGTGACCTGTGTGACCTCCATTGACCTTTGACCCCAGGTGTCGGTCAGCCACGCCCCAGCAGCCATGCCCTCTGTTCTGACACCACTCCCTACTGGGGAATATGGGGACTTTCTCAATGTACGTGGGACCGGGGCGACAGGAACAGAAAAGACAGACGTGAGTCCAAAGAAATCTTTGTTAATTTTAACAAAGTTTAGTCCAAACAAATCTTCAGTGAACATGATGAAGGGCAAAGTCTAGTTCTACACCACCCTGATGCAGAAGTTGTACACGTATCAACACAACTCTTCTTTTCTACATGGAACTTACTTGTTTTGTTCTGAACCAGCCTGATCTGGTTTGATCTGGTTTTGGCTGGTCTACATGTACTTTAAGTTTGTCTGGTATGATCTGGACTGATCTGGTCTGATCTGGTGTGTGTTTCATTTGGTTTGATCTGGTGTGATCCAGTTTGGCCTGGTTTGGACTGGTCTGCTTAAAATTGGTCTGGTTTTGTCTGGATTTGTCTAGTGTTTTTCTTTTAAAAATATTTTTAGCCGGTCTGACCTAGTTTGGGCTAGCCTGCTCTATACCGGTAATTAGATGTGGTTTGATCTGGCCTCCTCTAGTGTGTGTTTGGTTTGGTCTTTATTTACATACATACATGTATGTAGTGTGATCTGGTTTGGGCTGGTCTGCTCTGGTGTGTGTTTGTTTTGGCCTGAGCCAGTCTGATCTAGTTTGGTCCTGTCTTGGTTGGTCTTTTGTAGTTTAATCGCATTTAATCTAGACGGAGCTCTGATGGTTTGGACTGATCATATCTTTCTCACTAATTCAACATATAATGTAACTTTGTTTTAACTGCTTGATTCTGATTTAACTTTTGATCCTTTCTTGGAATTTAAGTAACCTACTTTTTAACTTTATTTTTTGCATTTTCCAACAGCCAAAGAGGGATGAAGTCGTTCCTGAAGCGTTCAATTTTTGGGAGCATGCCAACGCGCCCTACCTTATAGCCATTGGATGTGCAATTGCCATTGTTGTTCTTGTCATTGTAAGTATGCAGCAGCAACGTACACAAGTCAATTGCAAGTCAGATCACAACTCAAATCATGGCACAATTAAAAGGGGACAAACAATTTTGCTGGTAAAATTTGAATAACATCTGATACGCTGACTTGCTCAAATGCTCGGCACATTTTAACTTTGAATTATCGATCCAAAGAACTCTACTGTTACTATATCACATGATTCGGGGCAAGCCTTACGCTAGCAAACCCCAGCTCCGGAACGGTCTGGTGTCTTTGTGCCATTCTCACCCATTGTGAACAATGTATTGATGCTGAGCATCAATCGTCATCCCGAGTCAATTAATTACCGCACTTCACAAATCAATCACGAGCCATCAATTATTAGGTCAAGTTACAATCCGGGAAGTGTGGCCCACTGGTTAGGGTTTGTGACTCATGATCAGAGTGTAAGGGGTTTGAATCCAGCCGCTGGTCATATATTGTGTCCTTGAGCAAGCCACCTCACCCCACTTGCCTCTCTCCACGCAGGAGTATAAATGGGTACCGGCATTAGCTTGAAAGTAACCTGTGATGGACAAGCATCCCATCCAGGGGGAATAGAAATATTCTCAGTTGTTTCATGCTACTGAAACCGGAGACAAACGCCGGCCTGATGAGCCACATTGGCTCGTGACAGACTTTACTACTTATTTCTTCAATTCGCAGGTGCTGCTATGTATATGCAGGGCTTGGCGCAGGGCCAAGCACCTCAGGGAAGAAAACACGAGAATATGCGTACAATCGACAATCAAGCCGTCGATACGGGAGGGCCAGCCCGTGCAGCCCGAGGCCGGTTACACGTATTCTTCCTGTGCTACCAGTCAGCCAATCAAAATTAAGTCCAAAGGCCTGCATGAAAGGTCAGTGCTGATTGGTTAGTTGTGTAATGGTTAGAAGTAGGGCTACATTAATATGTGAAGTGCTGCATAAAAGGACACTGTTGATTGGTTAGTTGCATGACGGTTATTAGCAGACTCGCATAAAAGGTTAGTTGTGATTGGTCAGTTGAATTAAAGATTTAAGGCTCCTATGACACATGTTTGCAAAGGCCTACATAAAAGGCCAGTTCTGATTGGTTAGCTGTAGGATGGGTAGGATGTGGGGGTCCAATGTCAGCAAAGACCTACATAAAAGGCCAGTTCTGATTGGTTAGTTGTAGGATGGGTAGGATGTGAGGGTCCAATGTCAGCAAAGACCTACATAAAAGGCCAGTTCTGATTTGTTGGTTGCATGAGGGTAAGATGGAAGGCTCAAATATGAGCACAGGCCTGCATGAAAGGTCAGTTCTGATTGGTTGGTTGTGTGACAGTTATATGGGGAGCTCCAATGCTACATGCATGACCCCAAAAGTCTTGATTTGGGATATGTAGTTTGATGCATGCAAATACCAACACATTTTTAATTTCATGATATTTTTATCATACTGATGTTTTGTCTCAACATTTGAAAAGTTAAAAACCTCTGATTGAAGATACTGAAGGTAGAAATCATCAAAACTTTTGAGTGCAAAACCAGGGAAATTGATGAAGAAAAAGTTACACTAAAGTCGCCTTTTCCCATAATTGTGTTTTCACATTGTTTTTGTCTGTTTTAGGGCTAGCTGTTTGCTCATCTAACTTTGCAACGGACTCAAAAAAAAAATTCTTATGGAAAGTTGGCTTTTGTTTTTCGAGATACACATGTTCTGTAATATTTGGTGTTAACTTTTTGATAAGGAAATGAAATCACGATATATTTGTGTGAGCGTTATGTGCTAATGTGTTTGTTTGTTTGGGGGTTTTTTTGACAGGAGAAGTTCGGGGGTGTCTCTAACGATAGACATCAACCAGCCAGTAGGGACAGTAAGATGGACAGCATCTCCCCCAAGGGAAAGGTGAGCAACAAAGCAACATGGTCTCTGAAAGACTGGATTTGGGAGACTTTGGCTTAAAATTAACCTGAAAAGAGAATAATAACAATAATTTGGGGGAGGGGGGCTAATCATCCTTGCTCGCAGCTGAGAAGCTGAATTGCGAAGGACGCGGCAACAACATGGTCGAGCTGCAGGCATGTAGAGGCGCCTGTGGCACCTGCCATACGACCCATGTATGACCACGGAGCACAGCCCGAGATTGAAAGTGTTTGATTTTTTGCGGAGGGAGGAAAACCGGAGAGTCCGGAGCAAAACCCTCATTGCACAGGAGAGAATCAGCGCACAACTCTACTCACATATGGTCCGAGCTGGGAATCGAACCCGGGCCTCAATAGTGAGAGGCAAGCGCTTTACGCACTAGCCACACATGCCACCCAAAGTAGTAGTTGTGCGCTGATTCTCTTCTGTGCAATGAGGGTTTTGCTCCCGACATTCCGGTTTTCCTCCCACCGCAAAAATCAAACACTTTCAATCTCAACCTCGGTTGCTTTGTTGAGAAGTACAAAAGAACTACTTAAGGCAATCGCTTGCTGGTATCTGATTGTTGTACCCCCTGCGATAGACCATTTCGAACACGCCAGCACTCTGTTGTGGAAGCCCCCTTCAAAGGCGAAAGCATTGTGCCTGCTACTTGGTACTTGCTACTTGCTACTTGGTTGGTTTTTCTCCTAAATACTCTGCAGTTTTAACAGGAGGCCAGAAACACCAGGGCAAACCCCTTCTCTTAGCGATAAGTGTTACTGGGTTCTTTTAAGTGCATTGCATTACATAACACACGGAACCTACGGCTTTACGTCCCATCCGTAGGATTAAGTGCCTTGCTTAAGGGCACAAGTGTCCAGACTCGGGCTCGAACCCACATGCTGCTGCCTCTGAAACACCAGAGCTGAGCCCGGTGCGGTGCTCTTAACCGCTAGGCCATGACACTCCATACAGAGCAACTACTCAATGACGGACTGAATATCTGAATAGCCGGCACAATGCTTTCGCCATTGAAGGGGGTCTCTGTAAGTGTACATTGACAGAGTGCTCGGAATGGTCTGTATCATCAAACCAGCCCGCTGACTCTGGCAAGCTTGTTGGTCAAGTGGTGAAGAAATCTGCACTAGTAAGCAGGAGGTCGTGGGTTCGAGTCCCATCCGAGCTTGTACGTTTGTTTTCCTCGTAAACTCCCAGATGGTACCGAGTACGTAATGTGTGAAAAATTCTGTGAAATGCAAAACCCAACATTTGAAGTGATGGCACGTTATGATGTTAACAGATTGTTCTTTTGGACTTCTCATTCCAAGGCCAGATTATCAAGAAATCCAAACGTACAAGTGGGATTTTGTGTGACTGTGGGTTATTTTTGTCTTTTCTTTGTTTGCTGCAGCTCTGTGGCGGAGTATCTAGAATCGGCAGGCAACAGAATGACGAGAAAACAGCTACGCAATTCAGTCAAAAACATCCGAGCGTTGCACGAGGAATTCTGGGTAAGGTTAAAGGGAAAATACAACATTTGCAAACATCAAAAAATAAAACTACCAAATCATTTTGAAATACCTTGCTGGACTGTTAGTGAATGACAGTGTAAAGCATCCTGTAAAATCATGGCACCTGGTATACTGTCATTTTCAAGAAAAGTGGTATTTTTGTATCAATTTCCAACACTGATCGGCCGACCAGCCTGAGCGTTGGAAAAAAGGGAATGTATGTTCCCTTTAACACCGTTTTACGGTACAATCTAACTGACTTTGAGCAGTGCTAAAAATGTAGTTTTAATCTTGTAGATTCTTGTATGCACATGTACGTATATTTACAAAACTGTAAATTCTGCATTTTGACAGAAAAAGAATATTGTTATTTGTATGTTTTCTTGATTTCTCATGTGAAAAAGGAAATTTAACCCTAACCGTCCCAGCTGCTGTAAAATCCGCCAGGAATGCAAGAGTGAAAACTCAACGAAGAAATAAACAAATGTTCAATTTATGAACCGGGGAGGGATATTCTGGGGAAAACCAACGGACTTCGTTGGAACTGAAACCGAATCCACTTTTTGTTCTGGTTGGGATTTGAAATGGAACACAGATGGACGACGAAGAAAGTACCACTGCGCGGCCTGACTCCCAAATACTGAAAGTGTGCATTAATTTTTTGTCCTTTTTTGTCCAATATTTTTGTTTTTGAATCTCAGGACATCCCAGATAACCACACAGTCAACATCGAGGTGCCCGGTTCAGCCTCCAAAAACCGCTACCCGAAAATATTGCCAAATCCCGCGACCCGGGTCATACTTCCCTCGATAGTAGGGGATACGCTCTCCGACTACATCAATGCTAACTACATCAGGGTGAGTGAGGATGGCAGTGGAACCAGAATTTCATCTAGGAATTTTAAAATAGTATTCATAAATACCTCAGACAGTTTAGCCATTCCTATTGGTCGAGAGCCCGTCACGTGGCCGGTCTTAAACGGATGATAAAGACATGGCTAGCTGGTCTTAAACACTTTTCCAGTGTCACAATAAAATGTGGACTCCTAAAAATCAAGTGCCTCTTACCATTTCATTGGTTGAACGTTCACAATCCTCACGTAGGCATGCGCAACACTACAAGCGAGTCAGAATTTTATAGTTCTAAATTCAAAACGCAACGCCCCAGGTGCGTTCTGCGCGACATCGCGCAGAACATAATACGCGCGCGTCAATCTCCATAAAAGGGTTGTTTACATCTTACTCGCCAGCTGAACACTCCATTATTTTGCTAGAGGGATGTTTCAAAAAGCATGAAGTGAACTTGTTGAACAAAATCGGGATTTTTGAACGAATTATTTGATTTATTTATGAATGGGAATAAATATGTGCTCGGTCGGTATTTATCACTCAGTTTAAGACTGCTTAGAGTCTGGTTGCTGATAATTACCCTCGCCTCCGGCTCGGGTAATTATCAGCACCCAGACTCTAAGCGGTCTTAAACAGAGTGATAAAAACCTCCGGAGCACACATTTATTCCCTTAGTGAAGATGGAGAAGAGGGAACATAATTATCGGTTGTCAGTTTTTTCATCGAGTAGCTTGTATATATCCTATATTCCACAAATGCCCATATGGGTGGTGGGGCAGTTTGCGCGACAACGCTTGGCCAATAGACTCATCCAATTAAGCCCTGCCCCACAATGTTTTCACCAATCAGATCCTTGAATAATGCCTTACATGCGGGAACATGCAGTTTTGCGTTTGGGGAGTGCACATGTTTTTGGTGCCCTATTTTTCTAATGAAATTGCATTCTTTGTAGTGCTTACTTTATGGCATGTGTGGGGCACACTGTGTAAAGACATCAGTGCGTGAACCAGAACAAAGACATCTGACGTCAGACTTCAGTACTCTATGTACATGTACATATCCGCATGCAAAATCTCGCTACAAAACAAAACCTGTTTGTTTGTTTGTTTTTGTCACCAGGGCTATGACAGGGAAGCCCAGGCTTTCATAGCAACGCAAGGCCCCATGGTCCACACATTCGCTGACTTCTGGCGGATGGCCTGGTTTGCAAAGGCGCCCATCATCGTCATGGTAACCAAACTTAAAGAAAGAAACAAGGTTTGTATGAGGGCAATTCCAGCATAAGGCCAAAAAAAAAAATGTCTCCGGTTTCTGGTATGGAGCTTGCCCAAAAAGTGGTGCGGCGACGCGGCTTTTTTTTTTTTTTTTCCTGTTTTTTTTTGCTTCAAATGTCGGCTGATGACTGCAAATTGTGCCCGACTAAACTTAGTGCAAATATATGGGAGTCCAGAGAGGCCACATAAAGCTTATTCTCGATCATAACCCAATCTAAAAACACGTTAAAATTGTGCGGCAGCAGGATTCCCGTCAAACCAGTGAGTTTGGCTGTTTTGAGACATCATCTTTTATTGAAAAAAAAACTTTTTCATTTTGCCAACGCGCATGGCTACGGCGACGCGCGCGCATACCAGAAACCGGAGACTTTTGGGGGGGGGCCTAATGGCAGAAACTGTGATGTCTGTGACAGAGCCAATTAACCATGATATCTAATGATTCAGAAATGATCTTAAACTTGTAGCCTGTAATCTTCTTGACCTGATTAATTAGGGACTGGCATGTGATCAACATGTGATTGACTTGTGATCGATTTATGATTGACATGTAATTGACATGTGATTGACATGTAATTGATAAGTGATTGACATGTGATTGACCTGTGATTGGCTTTTGATTGACATGTGATTGACATGTGATTGACATGTGATTGATAAGTGATTGACATGTAATTCCCAAGTGATTGACATGTAATTGACATGTGATTGATAAGTGATTGACATGTGATTGATATGTGATTGACCTGTGATTGGCTTTTGATTGACATGTGATTGACATGTGAATGACTTGTGATTGAGTTGAGATTGATGCGTAAGGCATTGACACATATCGCTGCTAAAAATTATATTTTAAAAATTTGTTCATTTATTTGTTTATTTCTTTGGTTTTTGATGATTTGATAATTTTCATAACTTTCAGAATAAATGTGACAAGTACTGGCCGCCTCAGCAAGGTATCTACGGCGACATTGAGGTCAACGTTCTTCAAGTTGATCGCAAGGATGATTATATACTTAGGATATTAAACTTAAAGGTGCGTAAACAAGTAAGCCACATATACTGAAATTTGTATCCTTGTGGAGTCATATCCTTGTTCGACGTGTACTAAAAATGTTAGAATGTGAAAAGCTAGTTTCAAAATGCTCCTATTTTAACCAGAATCAATTTCCTGCACTGGAATTCGGACTTACATTGTAATGTCCCTTATATAAAATACTTCAATTTGCGGCGGATCAACACACCTTGGAAATTCCTACTTTTTGAGTAAAATCCATATATCTTTTTCGTGATAACCTTGTGGAGACATATTCACCTATAGAAATTGCCCTGTGGAGGCGTATACAATCTTTTGTTCCCTATTGTGTGCATGTCTCCACAGGGTACTGTGTATCATCAGACACTGTGTATTAGATACATGTACACACATCTCACCAAAATGAACAGCCAGGGTGTCATCTCAAAGCGCTTTACAATTATTCCCTCGGTCATCGGGCCACGAGACCACGTGGCAGTCGATATCAGGGCACATGCAGTGGTATACCCTCACAGGTACCCATTCATACTCCTGGGTTGAGAGTGGCAAAGTGTGTCTTGCCCAAGGGCACAAACACCACGTTCCAGGCAGGGTTCGAACCCATGTACCACTGTGTGCATGAGTCAAACACCGTAACTACTGGACCTTGGAATTTTACAAACCACTAGCCAGTCACCACACTGAAGATAGAGATATGCAGCGTGCATTAACCATCAACCGGATGGCCTCCACCTCCCCCCACAGCCGTCCCATGCTCCCACTTTTTCAATTAAACTTTAATTGTCAATCAAATTACATCTTTAATTGTCATGAAACACTTGGCATATACATGTTTTCATGTACATGTTTTCATGTACATGTACATGTTTTCATGTACATGTTTTCATGTACATGTACATGTTTTCATGTACATGTTTGCATATACATGTTTTCATGTACATGTACATGTTTCCTACATGTACCTACCCTATTTTCAAATGCCATGTAATCGGAAGCAGAACTATTTTTTTTTGGCCTAAGGACTGCGTAGTCATTTTACATGAAAAATAAGCCCTACTGTCTAGTCTACAACATAGGATGTGGTTGCTTACAAGACGCATGCCTACTGCAATGGTGGGTGATCACAGGGAAACCGAATGGTTACATAATACTTTGACGTCATATGTGATGCGATCAAGCTAAATGAGTCGTTTGTCAGGAACTTTCATTTGGAGATTCAGGCCAAAATAGGGCCACTTCACCACATCACTTCATCACATCTCTTGGTGTTCCAACTTCCATAATTTTTGAACTTAAGATGGTACCAGCTTACGGTTTTCACAGCAGTAATGCTGAGATTGTTCTCTTTTTAAATCTGTAAAAAAAAAATTGACCATGGTTGACAAATGACTCATTTAGCTTGATCGCATCACATATGATCAGAGCATATTTTGAAAATTATTTTTTTTTTTTGCTGTAGTACTTAGAGGAGAGTCGACAGATGCTGCATTACTGGTACACATCCTGGCCGGACAACAAGGCACCAGAGAACCCACTGACGCTACTGGAAATGATCAAAGAAGTGGAGATATCCCGAATGGACACCGGTCTACCACGGGGACCAGTGGTGGTCCACTGTAGGTGAGTAGCATTGGGTTTATAGGCACGGGCACCAGCTTAGCATGGGAACGGTGACAGTCCACTGTAGGCAAGTTGACTTGGTTACCGCTGGGGACCAGTGAAATTGTCTGTTGTACATATAACTGGGTTGCATTGGATTTAGATTGGGGCACCAGTCTACAGTTGGGGACTGGTGATCCTTCATTAACCCCAACTCCCTACTGTCCGATGCCTCATAGGGCCGACAAAATCGCATCCCCTAACCAAATAAAGGCCCATAATTCCTGTAGTTTCCAGAATCTCGCCCTTATATGTTAATCAATGTTTACAACTGTTACCCTTTAACCTTTAGCCCCACCGTGAATAGTTTAACCTTGCCCGCACTTCATTTGCATAGAAAGCATGGTCGCGCACAGTATTATGGGGCGATTTTACGACCTCATGATTCTAGAGTTTTCTCCGTGGAGCTGATACCTATCTTTTACCGTACACATAAAACTGAATTCCGTCCAAACTTGAAGGAGTTTCAAGCTGAAAAGGAGCCTAAAGATACCACCAGAGTTTTCTCATGCTTGTGAACATTTCAGTGCGATCCAGGTCGCTGTGATAACTGTGTGATTTTAAGAGGTTTCCGATCCGAACTTCGTGAACTTTTGTGCATGTTGTGAACGACTCTGTGAGTAACGATCCCTTTGTACTCCAATATTTGGTGGAATAAAGTGAACAGATTTCATTGATTATAGAACTATAGAAGTACGCGTAAAGAATATCAGTTACTTTGACTTAGTGTCCACGGTCGCTACAATTCCGATGCCTCGTACATGTAGGTCCGACGCCTCATAAGTTCGACGCCTCATAGGTCCGACGCCTCATAGATCCGATGCCTCGTAAGTCCGACAAATTAAACGCCTCGTTTTTCCGTTGTCAAACTTATGAGGCGTCGGACTTATGAGGCGTCGGACCTATGAGGCGGAATAAATAAATTTTATGCCTCATAAGTCAGACGCCTCATAAGTCCGAAATTTCGGACCTATGAGGCGTCGGACCTATGAGGCTTCGGACTTATGATACGGCCCCCTACTGTCTTTTACTAAGTACTGGACCAAGTCCGCCAAAATCCAACACTTACTCTGCTGCTAATACTTGATATAATGGAATCCACCACTGAAGTACTGGTGGATATTGATGGACTTATACATGGCTTATATGACAATAGCAGTACAGGATGCTAGGCAAAATCAATCAGATACCCCTAGCACTACTTCAGGCCTCACAAGTCTACAAGTAAACTCCATCAACAATTAGTCATACCTGGGGCACGTTTTGGCGCTGTGACCGCAAACATGTTTCTTGTACGCGGCCATTTTGGCGCTTCGGTTACACTGAAATGACGTCATTGTTTCGACCAAAGTTGAACCGAAGTTTCCGGTCGGTTCACTTATGTTTCAAGATGGCGGAAAGGTAAACAAGCTTAGCAGACGACATTACTTTTTACCATAAATGGGTTTTAAATAGTGGGTTTTTACCTTCAATTGGTACGAAAGTTGATACAGAATATCAGGCCTACTCTTTTTAGAACTTTAGGGAAACGCTATAAAAAAAACTCCCACTTGTGCTTTGAATGTTATTGTTAATCATGTCCGGTCGCCGTGTGATTTTTTTTGGGTTGTGTGCAGTCACGTAGGCAATAACATGATGTCATGAACAATTTTCCGGTCAGTCGTTTTCGCGGTGCTCAGGAAACATGTTTCAGGTCACGGCTGTGACGTCAGAAACATGTTCCAGTTCAAGGGCCGCCAAAACGTGCTCCAGGCCTGCAGGACCAAGTCCCCCAAAGTCCATCAAAATGTGGGGATGGATTTGATGGAGTTAGGGAGGTTGGGGTTAATATTTTAAAGGTGGTAGCATTGTGTATATGGAAAGGGGCACCAGCCCACCATGGCAACCGGTGATCAACCAATGAGTTGTGACACTAGGTAGGGAAAGGGGCACCAGTTGAAACGGCATCATTAGGTATTGACCTATCGCGGTAGATTCGTGTTAGAATCGCGTAATCGCAGCTTGTGAAATATTGTCCAATTACATAATATACAAATGGACGCGGAAAGCGCAAAATCCGAGACAAACAAAACTAAGTGTACAAACACTCCATAGGGTTGTCTAAGGGGCTTGGCTAACTCGCAAACGGCGATAGGTCAGCTGGAAGTGGCACCAGCGTTCTGCCGCAGAACGTATGAACTTTCATTGAAGGTGGTAGCATACATGTAGGTAACGGGCAGGGACACCAGCCTACCATGGGGGCCTAGAATACCTGTTAGTAGGCTAAAATGTGCAAGTGAGCCTGCAGGTTAACCCTATTACTCCCTAGGCCTTTTTGCTAGGATGTAGCCTCAATCCTGCAAAATCCTCCAATTGGCCTCATGGAAAAATAGCATATAGCCTCAATCCTGCAAATTCCTCCGTTGTTTCTTGAATATGGTCCATGGAGGGGTGACCACTGCCTGAATCCTGCAAAATCCTCCGGCTATGACTGTCAATAGGCTGAGGCAGAGGCAGTGACATCCTGGAGCAGTGCGGAGGATGTCAAGTATAATCAAGGACTAAATTTATGCACGGCTGAGCATAAACAACACAAGGTCCGGCCCAAGACCTTGACACAGTGCGTACTCCGAAATCAGCAACGCACTTTGGCCATGTAACCTCAATCCTGCAAATTCCTCCAATTTGCAAAAAGGATTTTGGAGGATTCAGGGCGGTTAGGGTTAAGGCCCACAGTCGATTTGGGGTACTAACCTACACTCAAATTAGGTTTTGCCCTTCACCGACGTTTAAACACTGTATACTCAGTGTGTTACCCCCCGAGTGAAAGGTGGAAAAAAATCACTCGGGTGGGACTCGAACCCACGACCTCCTGCTTTCTAGTGCAGATGTCTTACCACTCGACCACCGAGCCTACGGGATCAGTTGGCCGGTTCGAATCTGATGTACATAGCAGCGGGTACCGCATAAACTATAATAAGATGGAATTTTTGCGTTGGGGTGATATAAATCAAATTAGGTTTTGCCCTTCACTCCCCGACCCAAAACCCAGGGGAAACCCTTGCGTGGAGTTCATAAATAATACCTCTGGGTTTCTTCCCCCCTTTGTTTTTGAGCAGTGCTGGGCTTGGCAGAACGGGCTGCTACATTGCCATCAGCATTGGCATGAGAAACCTAGAAGAGGAAAAGATGGTGGATGTTCTTGGTATCGTCTGCCAGATGAGACAAGACAGGTGAGTGAAATATCGGCTTCCTCAATAGGGCTGATTTTGCAAACATTTATTTTGAGTTTAAATTATGAGGTGAAATTTAAGGATGCAGTTGCTACTGAAGGGTTTGAAAGAATTTTTATGCGGCATTTACTGAGCTTTGATACTGCTTTCTTGCAAGAAATTTGTGTTTGATTCTCTCAAAATGTTTATTTCAGGGGCGGAATGATTCAGACAAACGAACAGTACGAATTTGTGCACCAGGCCCTCTGCATGTACGAGAGGAGACTTCCGGAAAATGGAACGTCGACAGACTGAGCGCGTAGCAACCGTCAATTACACTCATCAGCACCCTTAGCAACGTAGGCATGTTAGTTGTGGATTTGTTACTCCAGTATTAACAGAATGAGCACACCATTTTATTAAACCAAGAGGTGTGCAAGTCAAGTCTACTGCACATCAATAGTCGTCAAATATGTACCTCTGCTGGTAAACGATTTTGTACAAAGACGCTGTAGCACTATTGAAATGGAAACAAAGGAAGATGGGGCAAATTTCATGAAGCTATTATGCGTTGAAATTTGCTCAGTGCAGAAACTATTTGCTTAGCAGACACAGGTTACCAGCCAAAATGCAATGCGATGTGTACTACTTGTGGCTGGTTCACAGCAGATTTTTGCTTAGCATATAAATTTGCCAAACAATATTTTGTGGTGTACATGCAACAAGGTCATATCTTCTAAAATGGGCCGTACGTTATAAGCGAGTTTCAGAATGTGAAAAGGTCGTATCTCACTGAAAATAACCTGTCAATTGTTGCAGAATGGATTTTACGACCTTGTTGCACTGATGCGACAATTTTACCGCTTAGCTCCATGAAATTTGCCCCTATAATTTTGAAGATTGATTCAGTGAGAGCATGTTCATGCCCAGAAGCAGTCTTGGTTCCAAGATCTTTGTGTGTTTTTTTTTCCACAAAGAAAATATTTACCGTACGTACATGTACGTATAGTAAGTGCACGATACTCCCGCGATATGATAGCACCAACGTAAAGACGCAGTTATCAATTCTATAACATGCATGTATTCGATTCTGTAATGGATTATGTTTATCTAACAAGTATCAATTCTTTCAGACTTGTCTTTGATTCTGGCCTTCCACAAAGACCCGTCATTAGATAGCAATATTGTACTGTAAATTGCGCCCTCAGTTGATGGAATATTTTTCTAAGTCCGAAGGTGTTCATGCGAAACAAAGACCACATAGGTAGTAACATCTTGGAACCAAGACTAACCCAGAAGACTTTCTATCAACCCACTAGCACATGTACGACATTGTATCATATTGTATTGATTCCTTGACGATTCCATAAAACTGTAGCGCGCCCGGGCAGTTTTTGGGCAGTTTTTGAGAATAACAGGCAGGGCAGTTTGGGGCAGTTTACAGGGACTTTAAAGTGTTTAAGCTGTGAATTACGTAACAGATGTTGATAGCTCTGCTGTTTTTTTAACAGTGACGTGCGTTTGGACAAACGTAAATCTGGAGTGTTTTGCTGTGAGTGCATACTAGAAATTGTCTCAAAATTGTGTAAAGAAAAACAATTAAAGCTACAGTCCATCATTTGTAATTTGTGCATTTTGTTCATTTGAAGCAACAAAAGAATTCAAAATCTAATGAAGGATACTGAACAACTAACCTGATGAAGTTTCAGCTAAGCTTCAGCTGTACACTCCGAGAAAAACAGCATTCTAAGATCTCAATTTCAAATCAAAAGTTACTGAATCATGTTTTGAATTGTTTTGAATTGCAGCTATACGGGACGTCGCGCACTGATCCTACGAATTATAACAACCGCGCATGCGTGTGCGTCGTTCCAATACTTGTGCGCGCTGCGCTGAATAACAAAACGAACTACTAATTTAAATTTTCCTACGGTGCTTCTTAAGAATCACCGTTGGAAATGCCTTCTTTCGTTGATTACTTCAAAATGACAGCTTCCCAGAAAGAATAATTTCACAGGGAGTTTAGTTCCCTTACTATCTTTCAACCAAGTTTGTTTTTCAACAATAATTACGCCAGTTACTTTTCGGATGGCTGCAAATGATGGACTATAGCTTTAAAAGAAAAGGGAAAAAAAATCAAAATCCAATGTGCTGATCGATTGTGTACCATAACTATGAATTACCAAATGAGTGCAATGAATATGTAGATAGAATGTAAAATGTTGACTTGAAACTTGGTAGAGTTCAAGAACCATCATAACAAATCTTGGATTTTATTTTATGCCGGAGTTTTTGCCCAAAGCTGAAACAGGCCATCCACATTTTTTCTTTCCTTTCCTTTTTCTCCTTGATTATTTTATTTATTTGTACCATGTACACAATGCAGCTGATTGGTTTTGTGTGGTGGATGTAAGTGTATGTTGTTGATGTCGGCATTTAGTTGACGTCAGCTCGTACTTGATGTCAAGTTGTAGTTGATGTCAGCGATAGAAATTTCAGATATGGTATGATCATGAAACATTTATGGCCAGACTGAATATAGTGTAAATACATTTACGCTAACAACGCTGTTCCAATTCTGGAGCAGTAAATCTTTCTCTTGCCTAAAGAAGATGGGTTTTCAACAATCAGCTTTCTAGGATGCCTATGTTGAAACAAGACATCACTCTTTTCCAAACTTGTTTCACTTCTTGAAAAGGAGTTAACTAATTTCGTAAAACAATGCAAGTTTGGGAAAGAATGTTGCAACCTGACACAACGTTTTTCTTCCTATGTGTTCTCAATGAAGGGCAGTCATTGCAAAAATGATAAGACGTTAATAAGGGACTGAGAAACATGTTTAGTTTTGTTAGGAAATACTTGCCCAAGTTTTTTTACTCTCTGTAAACTTGTACACAACGGCTAAAGTGGCGTCAGGTTGCAACATTCTTTCCCAAGTTTGTTGCATTTTTCTTCAACTTAACACTTGACTGTTGCTCCTGAGCACTTGAAATATGGTGGATTTAACAAACACAGTTACATAGCTGTTGAATAATTCAACAGATAATGAATATTAATATTATAATTATGTAAATGAGGGATATGATGAAACATGGGCCTTCAATTGGGTTCCAGTTTCTGATTCCAGTATCGTTCAGATAAAAAAAAATCACAATTCCTACAGTGATTTTGAATAGATTGAAACACGTAGATCAAGAAAAAAATTACAAAAATGTCATGTGATAGGCCTACTGATACCCTTGATCACCAGGCTTGTAGTGATTCCTTGAACCATTTCCTCCCAGAGCCCGATAAAGCACGTAAATTGCTCTTCATTGCCTTTCCCCGAGATTTATGCATGTAACATGTGCAGGCATGTTTGTCAGATTTTGTCTGAAATCAGGCTTTTTGAATCCGAGAGGAAAGTCTCAAATGAATACAGAAAGATTTGCATCATTCAGATCTTACATCAATGTTCAGACTTATTTTTAATTGACAATCTCGTCACTACATGTGCTGGTTATGTCAGCTTGCTTAGCAAGACGCGGTTACCAGCCAAACTTATTACTTGTGACTGGTGCCCGGCTAAATATTTTGTCTGAGCTTCTTAAAAGCAGCTTCTTGATACTGGGCTTTTGTTTAAAGTAAGTCAGTGTAAGACCTCTCTTCTTTATCAGCCCATCTCTCCCCCCCCCCTTCCCCAACCCCCCCCCCCTTCCCCCACCCCCCCCCCCCTTCCCCCACCCCCCGGAAATTTAACCCAACACGTCCCGCCCTGTATTCTTTTTCCCAAGAGTACTGCTTACTGTAAATCGTTAATTTCTCATAAGTATTGACAATTCTGTGTGCTACGCACTTGCTGCATTAATCATGTAACTTGGACTTGGTATTATTTGATTGGTTTTTTTTTTTTGGCAAGAGGGGGGGGGGGTACACATGTACATGTAACATATTAATTACATTCCTGAATAACCTGAAATGATTGTGCTTTATGTTTATTTATCCACTGTGATCTTTTTAAGCAGCAGCACAATAATTTATATTCAAAGATTTATTTTAATATGTCTCTTTCTCCCTAATACTGTACAATCCTTGAATGTGATTTTCTTTTCCATGTGAGGGATTTGGAGGACGTTGTTTTGATGACAGGTTCCCAGGTATCGAAAGCACAGATTCACTGTGAGTCGTCACAAGTCAATCATACCTCATCACAAGTCAATCACAAGTCATCACAAGTCCATCCTTAGTCAATCACACATCATCACAGGTCAAGTACAGATCATCATGGGCGTCGCGAGGGGGGGGGGGGGCAAGGGGGGCGCTTGCCCCCCCCCCCCCTCCCTCGGAAAAGCAACCCAAAAAAAGGAAGCAAAAAGGAAGAAAAAAGAAAGAAAGAAAAAGAGGCGCGAAGTCATAGTGGTGTAAATTTATTGGGTTGGGGGGGGGGGCAAAATGTCCTTGCCCCCCTCTAAAATTAATAAATCAAGAATTTGTTGAGAAATACAAGAATTTTTTGGGAAAAATATGTTTTGCCCCCCTATAGAAAAAAATCCTGGCGACGCCCATGCAGATCATCACAGGTCGTCATTAGTCGATCACAAGTCAGTCGCAAGACATCTCAACTCATCAAAAATCATCCCAAGTCAATTAATTACCACACATCACAAGTCAATCACAAGTCAATCACAAGCCATCAATTATAAGGTCAAGTTACAATCCGGGAAGTGCGGCCTACTGTTTAGGGTTTGTGACTCATGATCAGAGGGTCAGGGGCTCGAATCCAGCTGCTGGCCGTATGTTAAGTTTATGGGCAAGCCACTTCATCCCCACTTGCCTCTCTCCACCCAGGAGTATTGATGGGTATCGGCATTAGCCGGGGAGTAACCTGTGATGGACTAGCATCCCATCCAGAGGGAGTAGATATATTCTTAGTCGTTTCATGCTGCTGAAACCGGAGGTAAACGCCGGCCTGATGGGCCACATTGGCTCGTGACAGACTTTACTTTTTACAAGTTAAAATCCACACATAAAGAACTGTGACAAAAGCATTCCTTTGTGATTGTTCATTATCTGTTACCTGTGATCTACATGTAACCTGTGATTGACTTATGATGTGATCTGCGATGCACACATCCACAACTCGGCAAAGTATCAAGTTCACCATTTGTGATGCAATCAAGCTAAATGAGTCGTTTGTCAGGAATTTTCATTTGGAGATTCAGGCCAAAACAAGGCCACTTCATCACATCTCTTGGTGTTCCGACTTTCACAACTTTTGAACTAAAGTTGGTACCAGCATGCGGTTTTCACAGCAGTAATGCTGAGATTGTGCTCTTTTTAAATCTGTATAAACAAAAAATTGACCAGAGTCGACAAACGACTCATTTAGCTTGATCGCATCACATTTTCTGTTATAACATCTCTGCAAGATCATGAAACTAGGTTGTTTGCTTTGGATGTCATTCAAAGAGAGAAGGGATGTCATTTGGGAGTCTGTTCATTTAAATCAACTTTTCTAATATCCGCCTATGTAAAGTTTTGACTAAAAAATAACCACATCCATGGGTGTTGCAGCTTGTCATGTGCACAACCTTAATTTATTATCATATTAAAAAGCAGATAAAATTTAAAGTATATGTTGTAATTTTTATTAGTTGAGAATCATATAAGAAATGTGCATGTACAGTATTAAAGATGAACCAATATATAAATATATTTAAATGTATATATAAAAATATATATACGATACAGAAAGTAGGCTATTTTTAAGTTATATATCTATTGTTTTAGTGTATATTCTGTCCAGGTTTCAATTGTTTTCTGCCTTTTAGAGATTTCATTATGAAAACGTATTGTACTGAATGTTACCAAGTAGAGAGACTGCCCTCTGCCCCTTTAACAAAAACGTGACCTCATTTGCATGTGACCTCATTTGCATGTGACCTCAGTATTTAAAAGGGGCAGCTTGTTTGTCAGTGTATGCTTAGTGTGACAAACCCAAAAATGTGATGTGAAGCATGTTAAACCAGGTTTAGTATTTAGAACGTTTATTTATTCCAAAACATCAATTGGGACATTATAACAAAATATCGTTGTCTTCTTGCACAAAAATAGGGCAGGATTGAAATCAATATATTTTATTTTTGTGCGATATTATGAATTAACATCCCCTTTTTGCCTTTATTCAGCTTTCAAAAATACAAAATGTCATATTTCAGTTAGTGTTACATATGGTGTGTTGGCGTGGTGTCATCCAACAGAAATACCAAAAGTATATCATGTATTAATTTTTTGCGTTTTTTCATTTCAAATACAGGTGATAGCAACAGTTTGAGGGACCAACGTATATACATATATATAAAGATAGTTTATTTTTGTTTTTGAGTTAAAACAGTAAAGCATGTAACAAAAAATCTCCTTTATTAATATTTTATGTTAAGCTAGTGGTTGATGTATACACGAATAGAAGAATTGGTTTCAGACTAGATAAGTAAATATAAATAGCCTTATTCTTGGACGTTTGAGGGCGCTGTAACGATGGCCATTTTAGGGTACACATAAAAACAGACATGTAGCTACAGGGGGCATGGGGGCGTACGCCCCCCCCCCCCCCCCCTAAAAAGTTGCCCCCCCCCTGAAAATTGGGCATCCGAGAAAAGCACAGCCATATTACCATGATTAGCTGGAAGAACATAAAGTTGATTGTGTGCATATTTTTAACCAAAACTGTTTTTTTGTGAGTGGCTGTTTACAGGATGCTTGAGACTGTATTCATAACTACTTTCGTTTTTCGGTGTTTGCAAATGTTGTATATTGCCTTTAATTTAAGGTAGAATACTGCTTTAATGAACAGAATTTTTACTAGTGTTTTTACGCTGAAAATGGCAGGTTACATCGCTCTTATTTGCTCAAAGATATGGCCTATTGAGAATATTGGTCCAATGATAGTGGAGAAAAATTGTACAATAGAGCTTATGCATGGCGGCCATCTTAGAGGGCAATGCTTCTGCACTGCCGAGTTAGGCACGAGTAAACCTTAAAGGGAATATACATCATTAGCTTTTGCTGTAATTTTCAGAAATGGATGGAATTGGGGGGTTGGAAATATATAGCAAATATAGTTACACTGACTTATTTGAGGTTTTGGGTTCGAAAATGCTATAAAAACCAAGAAAAACGATCATTTTCCTGTAGTCTGGTTCCCTGACTCCATAGAAGAAGAAACAGAGCAGTTTACATACATTGGGGAATTGTAAGGTCAGGGAACCAGTCTAGCTGGCTCGTACCCGTTCATAGGTTTGTAATCGATTGCAAACAAGTGCGATGGTCAATTGGGGCCAGTATTTGAAGGAAAAAAAGCCAGTTTTTTCCAACGCTGATCGGCCGATCAGCGTTGGAAATTGATACAAAAATACCACTTTTCTTGAAAATGACAGTATACCAGATGCCATGATTTTACAGGATGCTATACACTGTCATTCACTAACAGTCCAGCAAGGTATTTCAAAATGATTTGGTAGTTTTATTTTTTGATGTTTGCAAATGTTGTATTTTCCCTTTAAAGTGCATTCATGTTTATGAATGGTACCCTCTGAGCTAGATGGCAAGTATCCACAAGTTCTATGGGCCACATGCATTATGACCATATTTGCACAGAAAGGTCTGCTCATGCTAATAGACTTTTAAAATGCTGCCACCATTTCAGTCATGTTTCCTGTTTCGCTCGTACTCCCCGCCCTGCAAACAGGACGCTGGGATTCTCTGATGAATTCACGCTCTGATTGGTTGGATTTTGTGTGACCTGTGACCTGCGCGTCATCAAGGTCATGACTCTGCAAGGTTTGAAAAAGCCGTTAAGACTGATTCATTACTCTTTTATTCCAGTTTAGAGATGTTTTTTTTTTCATTGAAAAGCGTAATAATGTAGGAAATTCTGTAACACCTATCCGTGTTGTAAATTTACAATTCTCGTCACTTGCTCAGGCTCCGTTTCGAATCACAAACGGTCGGATTGCATTATGCGACGCTCAAAATTTTGTCCACATGGTCCGCAATGAAACAGAAATCACATCCGGTATGGAACGTGTGCATTTCTATGGGAAGTTTTCGGATAGCATTTGCGCACATTGTCTAACTGCGGTCTTGAACAGCTGCAGCCAGATACAGATGCAGCTTTATACATAGGTCATATGCCACTTCCTTCACAAGATTCTGTGAAGCTCATCAGTGTATCCCAGCGTCCTGTTTGCAGGGTGGGGGGTACCAGCGAAGTTCCCTGTATCCAATCAAAATACTGAATGATTTTTTTTCTCGGGTGCAAAAAAAAACAAGACTTTTTTCCCTTCTAACCTCGCTATGGTTACGTTGATTTGAATGGGAAAAAATCAAGATGGCCGCAACATGGTAATGGTCTGTTCCATCAGAACAAAAGCTCTGGGGCCAATTTCATAGAGCTGCTTAAGCACAAAATTTGCTTAAGCACAAAAACGTCTTGCTTAATAAAATCATGTTACCGGCCAAAACTCCATGCGATTGTTATGCTAAGTAAACAACAGCTAAATACCAGTCACAAGCAATGTACATCACATGGAGTTTTGGCCGGTAACCTAATTTTACTAAGCAATGTTTTTTCGTGCTTAAGCAAATTTTGTGCTTAAGCAGCTCTATGAAATTGGGCCCAGCTGCCCTCTTAGATGGCTGCTATGCATAAGGTGTGTTGGAAGGAAGTTTTTCAAACTTTTGGATATTTTTTAGAGCCCAAAAGATTGCGTATCAGGCATCGTCTGGTAGCTTTTGTAGTGCATACCCTGTTAAGGCTCCACATGAATTTGACACCCCAAAACATTTGCAGAAAATTTGCCGGTGTACATTTCTGCAAATTTGCCGAGTTGATGCTTGGTTGAAGTCATAAGTTTGATTCTGCCCTTGTGTGAGCATAACAGGCCTTTGTAAAGGTTGAGATTTTGCAGACGTGTGCTCAAAAGCCTTTTTTTTGTGTTAAATTTTGGTCACTTGTTATTTGCCCTGAGTAAATGTGTACATGCATTCACATTACCACAAAATCAGTAATTTTGCAATTTTTTGTTGTTTTAGGCCAAAAGGTGTGCCTGGGAATTGGCTGCACTTGTTGAACAAGTGAATGATTTATGTTTTAGATAAAGGTTTTCAAATGCCAAATTATACATGTAAATTTGTGAATTCACACACTTAGAATATGAAACAAAACAAATATAATCACAAATCAATGGCAGTTTAATTTATTGATTCATTTAATTATTGATTTATTGAAATCCATGTAAATGATTACATACATTTATCTAGTGAGTGTGGAGACATATTCTACAGAGACAGAAGAAATGTTAGAAGTAGTCCTGCCATTATTACATGTAGTTCAATGCAAGAAAAGAGAGACTTTCTTTCCAAATAACTACTTTTTACAAAAACAGTACAATTTTTGTACAGTTCCCTAATAGCCCAGAGTGTATGTTTCATTTATACACTGAATACTCTAGAAGTAGCCAATTAGCTTTCAGAGTTGTAAGTTGTCATGAATATGTATGGTCGTCCAGCCAATCAGGAGAGTACTTTGTCTCATTGTGTATTCTGTGAGTAGAGAGTGGTTGAGAAAAGTGGATAATGTCACCAGTAGTGATCTTGGAGAAATTATTAAATAAGGGGTGTGAACCTCAGAAACCCAAGAAATCCATGGATCAATACATTTTTTCTGTTCACTTTGTGTTACAGTGAAACGCCGTTATAACAAACACCGCTATAACCAAAGCCGCTACAGTCCTTCTGATTTGAAAATCATAGGCGTTTGGAAAAATGCACACCTTGATTTTTCTAGGCGTGTGATTTTTCTAGGTGTGTGATTTTTCTAGGCGTGTGATTTTTCTAGGCGTTTGATGCTGTGGTCCAAACTGGGACTGAACAATCCGTTATTTGTTTATAATATTCATCTTGGTTTACAGTAAAGCCATTTTAAGAGCTCACAAAAGAATATGCAGTAATAAATGCCGAGGTGTGCGGTACACAGGGATTCAGGCGTGCGATTATTCACACTTCTCGGATAGCTTTTAGGCGTGCGACGGCGTGGGGGTGCGATCGCACGCCTCAAATCAGAAGGACTGCGCTATAACGAACACCACTATAACGAACATCCTCTTTGGCTCCCAAAATGGTAAATTCTATTATTATGTACAATCACTTCAACGAACGACGACTACGGTACATGTGTAAGGAACATTTTTTATGGACCCCCATCATGTTCATTATAGTTCTACTGTATAAGGTAAAGGTACATGTGGTCTAGCGGTTGGGCACAGGATTCATGATCGTGAGATTGTGGGTTCGAGCCCCGCCGTGGCCATGCGTGTTGTGCCCTTGAGTAAGGCACTTCACCTCAATTACTCCTCTCAACCCAGGTGTTAAATGGGTACCGGCATTATTCAATGCTGGGAAGGTAACAGACTCGCTGCACAGCAGCATTTCATGGACTCGAGTCTGGCCCAATCACTTCGAAAGAGAGATGGGCACTCCGTTCCTGTGAACACAGGTTCGTCCCCCTTTACTTCACCATCGTGTACGTTATAGTGCTGCTCTACTGTATAGTACAAAATGAAGCGGAACTGCGTAGCACTGAAGAAAAGTATAAGTGATGAAAACAAAAGTTAAAGCAGTGCTCACCAGGAATTATATAGGTACATAGGATCATTTTCTCTTTGTGACTTTTTTTTGCAATCAGTTCTAGCAACACAACATCGAAATCTCATTTCTAAAAGGATTCATTCTACAAACTAAAAAAAAACCTGTTAAAGTTGAAAGCACTATCGCCTACAGTCCTAATTTAAATTTCCCAAATAGTGGGATATTTGAATGGTAAAATACCAGGGGTGATGATTGCGCAAGGCATGGTGGGAACAAACATGGCACAGCAAGATCGTACCCATGGGAGTGAGGTTGGGATCTCCAATACCTTGGGCCTCATAAGCCACAACGGCTATGGATACTGGCTAGGGCTAGCCACTGTTACCTAAACAGCAGCTTACATTTGTTAGATGGTACCTTGCACTGAGACAACTTATCTTTTCATTGCCTCTCTGATGATGATGAACCACAAAACCGAGTTAGTCTTGGCCCTGGATTGGTATTTTATTCCTTTAAAACCCTAACAGAACTCAACCCATCAAACCCCAACGGCATGTTTTGTTGGAATCTGTCAGGATGGACACAGTACCCCTAAACTGACAGTCTTTTACATTGGGTTGGCACACCTCCAGAATCAAAAACTCAGAAATACTGGTATATGTGTGTGCAGTTTCCCATATGGTGTTGGAATTTGCCAGAATGGGTGTGGTGCCTAGTATATCATGCTAGGGAGTTAAGGGTGAATACTAGCCCTGACAAGTACATTAAAGCCGCCACAGTGGTAGATGACGCTTTCAACAAGATGAATTAGTTCTCGCCTTGGAAACTTTGGCAGCGCTACCCAGATATTCCAAGCATACCTCATGCGCTGTACTCGAGCTACTGCATATGCATGAGGTATGCTTGGAATTTCTGGGTAGCGCTGCCAAGATTCCCCATACTGGATTTGACGAATCTTGTTCATTCGGACCTCTACCGCCACAGCTTGTCATGGGAATAACACTTAAATCCAACTTGGACCAAGACTACTACAATGTCTGACGAGCCACACAAGCCTTGGCTAGGGCTAGCCACTGCTACCTAAACAGCGGTTGTCGTTTCTCGGATGGTACTTTGTCTTGGGATTTCAGTCTTCTCATCGCTTCCCTGATGTGCTTTGGTTGCAGTGGTCCTGTGTCCCCCCACTGCTCAAGGACGTCTAAGGCTGAAAACAGAGTCAAGAAAATACACATGTCTATTCATAGCTACATTCAGACTAGCCTTGGTCAATGGGAAATACATAAAAATAGTGGCCGCATGAGGTCGCTGTTCGCGCTGTATTTTCACATGCACTAAGCGCGCGAGGATATGCCGCCGATTGATTACCACGTACAGGACAAATAATGACGAGAGCATTGACCAAGGCTACATTCAGAACGAATTCAAGACTACAGGTGTAGTCTTTATTCAAGACGTCTAAGGCAGGACAAAGAGGGATATATATGGCACTGCAAATGAATTGTCAAAACTTGATGTCTATTTTCATTTTACATGTAGAGACATAGAAACAAGATATTGCGTATCACCGATGTCGTGATACTAGTAAAATGGGGCCAAAAATAACAAATGGATGCTTAAGTTCCTAACTTTATTCTCAAATTGCTTTATAGAATGCAGGAGAAAGCATCGTAAATTTTAAAAAATTTCTGAGGCAAAGCCCCGGACCCCCCCCCCCCCCCCCGCAAGGCCTTCTGCACGCCTTCACTCAACAACCCCCCTTCTATCAACTTCCCACCCCCTTCATTTCACCCCCCCCCCCATTTTCTAAAAGCTAGATCCGCCCCTGCGTATACACATGACCCAGTGCATCATGCATGCACACAAAGTAAACTGCCTTGACTCTCATGAGTAGGCCACACAAAGTGTCGTCTACGATATCTGCGCAGAGTTCAAAGAAAAGATTTTTTTGGTTAAAACTTTTAGCTTCACTTACCCGCTTCAACTATTTCTCCAACATACACCTTAGCAATTCCAGACATTGCTATGACAACGTTGTGTGAGGCACTGCACCCTGTGATAGACTGCATGTACTGCAAAAAAAAAAAAAAAGAATTCAAAATACAACTCTATCAAACTGATACGTTTGTCATTGATTTCATATGTCCATGCGTCTTGTGGCCCACAGCCCAAATAACATGTAACAACATGTAAACCAGGTCATATGTGATGTATTATGTTGGAGACTTCCATGCCCTAATAGAGGACGAAGACCCTTCAACTACATTGATGTGATTGGCAGAGACACCCAATGTGAAATTGAAGACCTTCCCGTACATTATGAGGGATGAAGACACCTGGCGTGGCGTTGTGAACGAGATCTCAGTTGCAACCTCTAGATGATGATGACGATGATAACAATTGAAATTCTATTGGTCTAGAGCCCATGACACAGGTGGTTTTAAACCACCAGTAAAACACTGCTGTATTCTGCCCCACATCGAGCAGTACATGCCGGACGCGCTCCAATCTCCAAATAAGGAGATTTTTAGTACTACGCGCACGAGGAACATACCACAGACATGGCCAGAGGAGTATTTCACAAAGCATGATGTAAACTTCTTGAAACAAAATCGTTGGAATTTTGTAAATTTTTGACCTATTTTTTAATTTTTGACCTAAAAGGTATTTATGAATGGGAACAAATGTGCTTGGCCAGTGTCACATGAAAATCGGGTCCTATGAAAATCTGACTCCTTTACCCTATTATTGGTTACCTCACACGTTACCAGTAACTCTCCTCATTATCTCATTTAGGCCCCAAAAAAAATGCTTCTGCTTCCGATTACATGGCATTTGAAAATAGGGTAGGTAGGTAGGGTATTTTTTTTTGGTGGCATATTTTTGTTTGCGTTGATCATGTGTAGGTGTCTGGGTTTTTTCCCCTCATGTTTCCCAAAAGAAATTAGGGTAGGGGCTGTCAAAATAGGGTAGGTAGGGTAACCGGAAGTACAACTATTATTTTTTTCAGGCCAAAATCATTTCAGTTTTGTTGCTTACCCTTTTGACTGCTGCCTTTGGAAATGATGCCCTCCTGTACATTTCGTATCGGTTCAGCTGTGCTTCAGATAGAGAATCCACCAGGATCCTGGATAAAAAAAGTAAATTTTCAGTATGATGTTCATCGTCCTGCACCTGGTTTGTGACAACAATGCATGTGCATTAGCAAAGGATGTGCGAGTCTTATTTGACACAATGCTTCTCCCATCTCGACAGTTTTCTATCAGCAAGATCTGTTGTCAAACTTGCGTGCTTCCCAAACTTGATTACTCTAGAGAGAGTTTTCAGGGGTAATTGTTATAAAGCTTGACCTTTAACCTCAACTCCCTAGGCCTTTTTGTTACGATGTAGCCTCAATCCTGCAAAATCCTCCAATTGGCCTCATTGAAAAAGGCATACAGCCTCAATCCTGCAAATTCCTCCATTATTTCTTGAAAATGGTCCGTGGAGGAATGACCACTGCCTGATTCAGCCTGAAGCCTGCAAAATCCTGCGGCAGTGACTGTCAATATGTTGAGGCTTGGCCAGTGACATCCTGGAGCAGTACCAAGGATTTCAATTATAATCCAGGCCTATATTAAGGGCGGTTAGAACACTCAACTGTTTTTTCTGCCGCATTTCTTCCTCTATCTGTTCCTTCAGTTTGTGTTCCTCGGCAGCGCTCAGGGAACGCTCCAGCCTCGGCCCGGCGGGCTTCTCCCCCTCTCTGTCCCCCTCTGCGTCCCCTTCCTTGGACCCTCCAAGATCCGAAGGCTGCCCCTCTGATTTAGCCTCTGTTTCTACAGCTTGCTCCTGATGGGGCTGTTCGGTGGAAGCCGGTTGTTTGGCGGTGTCATCTGTCACAGACTCTAGGCTTCCAGCCTGACGGTTCATGTCTTTGTTTCGGCCTGCGCTGCTGAAGTCCCCGAGGGCGGACAGCAGACCATGGGGCTCTGGTGGGCTTCCTGTGTGTGTCAAAGGTCAAACAGCTGCACTGTTTAATTTTCCTGGCAAGTGGCCAAAAGTTATAAAACATGAATAGCATGTTATTAGCTCAGATATATACAACGTACATGTTCACGAAACTTTTCTTCTGAACAATCTTTAACCCGAACCCTCCAGGTTATTTTTGGCTTATGAAACCCTGCAAAAAGGAACAATGTGCATCACTTATAATAAGAGTGAGAAACCTTGCTGCCCAGTGTAACAAGATCCATAAGGCCAAAATTCCCCAAGACAAAACTGGATTTGACTTTGTCATCACCAACTGCGGCAGGAGACAACTGTGGCATGGTTCAATGGGATTAGCTCCCATTGTCTCAAAAAGCACTGGTGGTGTTGGCCCAATGTAACAATGTCCCATGGACTTTTGCACAAGTTGCAATGTGCCGTACGTGTTTGGCAAGGTTAAGGTTAATAAAATCACTGATCTCAGTTAAAAGCTCCAAGTCATTTCCAAATTCCAACTCCTCTTTGCAAATTGGAGGAATTTGCAGGATTGAGGTTACATGGCAAAAGTGCAATGCTGATTTCGGAGGATGCACTGTGTCAAGGTCTTGGGCCGGACCTTGTGTTGTTCAGCCTAGCATAAATTTAGTCCTTGATTATACTTTACATCCTCCACACTGCACCAGGATGTCACTGCCTCTGCCTCAGCCTATTGACAGCCACAGCCGGAGGATTTTGCAGGATTCAGGCAGTGGTCACCCCTCCATGGACCATATTCAAGAAACAATTGGAGGAATTTGCAGGATTGAGGCTACATGCTATTTTGCCATGCGGCCAATTGGAGGATTTTGCAGGATTGAGGCTACATCCTAGCAAAAAGGCCTAGGGAGTTAGGGTTAAGGGTTATGCCTATGTATAGGACAGTCCAAACCACAGTATTTCAGTTGGGCTGGCTGTGTGCTCATGTGTGGCAGTTAATCCTTACCCACCTGCCAGACGCAACACAGTGCAGCAGGTGTAAAAGTCTTTGCTGCATCGAGCCATCAACACCAGCATAATAAATGGCCAAATCTGAAACAATGAGAGTTAGTCCCATTGAACAATGCCACAGTTGTATACTGCTGTGACAGTTGGTGACTACAGACTCTCATATGCATTTTGGCCCGAAATTTTTGACCTGATGGATCTTGCTACAAACCCTAACCCACCTCACTCCTCCAAAATCCTCCTGGCAGTTTTGGAGGATTCTAGAGGATTGAGGATGAATGGTGATTGAATCAAATGAGGATTCTGGAGGATTGAGGATGAATGGTGATTGAAGCACATGAGGATTTTGGAGGATTGAGGATGAATGGTGATTGAAGCACAAGAGGATTTTGGAGGATTGAGGATGAATGCATTTTGAGGCAGGACTGTCTGATGATTTTGAAGGATTTGGCGTTGGTTATCCTTCATTCAAACACGAGTGCAAAATGTTGGGATGAGGAGGATTTTGGAGGATTGACGATGAATGCATTTTGAGGCAGGACTGTCTGACAATTTTGAAAAATTTAGGCGGAGTTGCAAAATTTTGGAGGATTTTGGAGGATTGAGGATGGTTCTTAGCAAAAAAGGGCCTAGGGCGTTAGGGTTGGGCATGCTCATCATTTTGTGATGCATGTTACTGAGCTTGTAGTTTGTAGCATGTCTGGTCAAAATACTAAACCAGGATGGTTTTTAAAGGGAGTGCAAATGTATGAACCATGCCATATTTTGACAAGTGTTGCATGTTTTGACAAGATGTTGTTCAGTTGGTTCAGTTTGATTCCATTGTGGTTTATTATGTGGTTTTTTGATTAATTAATCTAATTTATTTTCAGTAGTTTATTTATGATTGTGTGGAATTAATTAATTATTTCGTGTATTGCATGTATGCATAGCAATTTTCCTCCATGGTAGGACCATTAAAGTTGAAATGAATTGAATTGAATTGAATATGTTCACATCAGTCACAAATCCTGCATAGTGCTAGAGAAACTGAAGTGCAGCCTACATTGTGTATTCAGTTACACTTTTATATTTGTGGCACAAGCTAGACGGAAAATGGACATATTTTGGATGAATTCTGCCATGATGACTGTGCCATTCCAGAACAACAATAGTTGGGTCGGCCCAACTGGAACACTTTAGTTAGGATGGTCCCAGCTTAAAGGGAATATACATCATTTGCTTTTGCTGTAATTTATAGAAATGGATGGAATTGGGGTTGGAAATATATAGCAAATATAGTTACACTGACTTTTTTGAGGTTTTGGGTTCAAAAATGCTATAAAAACCAAGAAAAACAATCATTTTCCTGTAGTCTGGTTCCCTGACTCCATTTAAGAAGAAACATAGCAGTTTACATACATTGGGGAATTGCAAGGTCAGGGAACCAGTCTAGCTGGCTTGTACCCGTTCATAGGTGTGTAATCGATTGCAAACAAGTGCGATGGTCAATAGGGGCCAGTATTTGAAAAAAAAACAGTTTTTTCCAACGCTGATCAGCCGATCAGCGTTGGAAATTGATACAAAAATACCACTTTTCTTGAAAATGACAGTATACCAGGTGCCATGATTTTACAGGATGCTTTACACTGTCATTCACTAACAGTCCAGCAAGGTATTTCAAAATGATTTGGTAGTTTTATTTTTTGATGTTTGCAAATGTTGTATTTTCCCTTTAAGTTTTTACTCATGGTATAAATAATGTACACGTAGTTGGGGTGTATCTATTTCATCGAGATCAAGATCTTAGGAGTTGCCCAAAGCCGAGGGGGGCAGGGCAAAGTTTCTTACCCAAATCATCAAACTTCATTCGCTTTTGCGACGTTGGGCTACTGAACTCATCTGCAGACTCATCACTGGCGCTGGTGCTTGTCGTATCCAGGGGCCGTTTCAATCCTCGGTCATGCTGGTCCGAGACCAGGTCATCCATGTGATCGTGATAGGAATCAGCCATAATTTATCAGGTTCCTTGCTCCGTTGCAACACTGCGACTATAAGATGGGTTTACGTTTCATCTCATAATCTGCATTTCATATGTCATGCCTGTGCAAAGAGTAAGAAGTAAAGTTATAGTCTACTGCTCATATACATGTAGCTTAAAATCATGAACATGATGAATGGAATAATTGAGTGGTCGGGCACAACCCGACCACTGATTGGAGTTGTTACAATTAATCTTCTTTCTTTCTTTCTTTCTTTTTTTTCGGACAAAAAGTTTCCGCGGGTTTTCTCCTAAACGGTATATGGTATGAACTTGTAACAGTTTTCAACATATATCGACCCTCGTCCCTAGTGGTGCATACATGTATTACTCTGACGTCATGATGATGTCATTGGGTGTCAAATTACAAGCGATTTTAGAGGAAAAAGTGGCCAAATACTTTCACTTATAACTCTTAGACAAAATGATCAATGATGTTCTTACTTTGCAATCAGCTAGACCATTAGTTGATAAACAATTTTTGTCGTGTACGTGAACTCGCTTGACCTTTACTTCCAGGTCTACCGGAAGGTCAAAGTTACGTGAATTTAGAATGAAGACTTTAGCCTGAAATCAAGACAAAGCAAAATTTCTTGATCATCAAACCTAGTGTGAACTTGTAACATGTTACAAAGATGTTATAATCTTTGTAACGTCATCATGACATCATCAGGTATCAAATTACAAGCGATTTAAGTGCAAATTTTGACAAAATAGTTTGCGCTATATCGTTTGTACTAAATAGAGTATCGTGTTCGTTTTTTCGTGAGGTTGTTGACTATGCCCAGAGAAATATTTCTTTCCCCGGACACAAAACCGCTTGCCCTTCACTTCCGGTTTTACTGGAACTAAAAGTGCAATAAAATCCGAATATAACTCAAAAGCGGAAGCATTTTACAACACACACGTATAAATTATGAAAGTGTTCAGTGAGGAATACCGGACACAAAAAAAGTGTGATGACGTCATCATCCGAAAGGGCGCCCCTAGCGGCACATAAAATAGAGTTTGCTTTCTTTAATTTCTTTAAGTTTAAACCATCCTTCCAGAAATAGCTTGTACGAGCCAGAAATAACTTGTATGTGTACATTATTATAATGCTTACTGAATTTTATCACAAAATAATTGATTGAAGTTTGTAGGCCTACTGGAAAGGATTTAATTTCGTGATCCTTTTTGTTCTTAGTATCTTACAAAAAAAATTACATAAAAATATTTTAATATAACTGAACTCGGCAGTGTTTCATGAAAAAAGTACCTGCCCGACCACTCTGCATTTTTAACAACAAACGCGAACCTCTAGTTAATTTGTGATGGTTAGTAATGACTGACTTTGCACTGATTATCTGAATGATCAGTCATTGCAAATTCTGAAGAGAAACAGCCGTGATACTGCCTGGCAGGAATTTGGGCGATGATAGCCCGAGAACAAAGAAGTAACGAGTAATTCCCATAGTTCTAGGGGTAGGCTAGCCCCCTATCCTCTCATTGAAGGTCATTCACTGCAAAAAAAAAACTTACACGCTCTATGATTACGAATTATGATCTATAATAATCGAGATTGTCCGGAAACTGGCCACATTATTTCTGCAGACTTGTCATTACTGTCATTAGTCCGAAAATTTGGGACTCTCAATACTGTGAAGGAATTCCCTTTGCGCTGACCGTTGAACATTAATATATTTGCAAACCATTAATTGGACCTTCTTCTCCTTAAAATTAAAAAAATCAGGGTTGCTGAGATATTTGGGGAGATTTCTGAGGACAAAATGATCCGTAACGAATCTGGTAACTGGCCTGCGCGGCGGAGCGGTAGATTTTAACAGGTCAAAGGTTAGGATATCCCTATTTTTATCCTTTGTCAATCAATTTTACACGAACGTAATTCTAACAGACTGATTGTTCTTAAATTTATTACCTGAATTCACTTGTAGAAATAAGTAAATCAAATTAATATATAATAAGAATTATACAAGTTTTCCACTTTTTAGAATTGACCATAATCACAAAAAGCGTCCGGAATTATGCTTATTCAGCGCTTTATATTTATTGGAACGTCATCAATGAATGACGTCATGCGTGTCTCCCCAAAATAAACCTGACACTTGTAAACAAAAGTACTGGCTCGTGGTGGTGCAATATTTTCTCAAGTTCACGCGCTATATAAACGCTTGTTACTGACGCAAGAGTATGCAAGAGAAGTGTGGCAGCCATAGTATAGATTACAATGGTTTTCACGAAAATATTGTCCGAGAAAACAATTGCCGAACAGGGGCGGGCGCCCGGGCGCGGGCGGCACCAGAGAGACTTCGAAGTACCAGGCTGAAAGACATTTCAAAAAAGAGATATAATTCTAAATAGTTAGCTGAGTTCAAGTTGAACCGAGAAACAAGTCGCAAAGATAAAACTGCAAGATTCATTGTAAAAGAAGATTTTCCTTTTTTGGAAGGACACCATCCATGATGGCCACCGAGTCCGAGGGGCCAGGAACTGGGATGAACCAGAATGGCCGGAGCCTGGCCAAGGACTTCCACCGTCTGATGAAGAACATCGCCAGTATGTCGGGCGGTCAGGCCCGCTTGGTCGGATGGGACGAGGCAGATCTCGGGAATGACATCAGAGTGTCTGTCATCCCAGATAGCGGGCTGTACAAGGGGGGAGAGTTCATCTTCTCGGTAAGAACAGGGGGGAAATATAATCAGTACCAATTAAGGCTAGCTTCCCCATCATCGACTTGCTCGTATTCATAGAGCCAAAGCTGCACATGCGCAGTGATGCGTGCTAAATTTCCTGAAAAGTGAAAAGTTGTGTTTCCTGAATTTCAAATCTAAACTGTTGTTGATAATCACCATGGAAGCTACTTAACCAGGGCATTATACATAAAGCTGGGCTCGAAAAAAAGACGAGGTGCGCGTGCGAAGTCATATTGCTGTTAATTTAAAGGGAAAATACAACATTTGCAAACATAAATAAGTAAAACTACCAAATCATTTTGAAATACCTTGCTGGACTGTTAGTGAATGACAGTGTAAAGCATCCTGTAAAATCATGTCACCTGGTATACTGTCATTTTCAAGAAAAGTGGTATTTTGGTATCAATTTCCAACGCTGATCGGCCGATCAGCTTTGGAAAAAACTGGCTTTTTTTCAAATACTGGCCCCAGTTGACCATCGCACTTGTTTGCAATCGATTACACACCTATGAACGGGTACAAGCCAGCTAGACTGGTTCCCTGACCTTACAATTCCCCAATAAATGTAAACTGCTCTGTTTCTTCTTAAATGGAGTCAGGGAACCAGACTACAGGAAAATGATTGTTTTTCTTGGTTATTATAGCATTTTCGAACCCAAAACCTAAAAAAAGTCAGTGTAACTATATTTGCTATATATTTCCAACCCCCCAATTCCATCCATTTCTGAAAATTACAGCAAAAGCAAATGATGTATATTCCCTTTAATGCACATTTAACAACATGGGCGTCCGCAGGGGTGTCAATGATGGGGGTGGGGCGAGCAAATGTCCCCCGGCCCGCCCACCCTCGAAAAAAAAAATGATATACTGAGAATAATTATGCTAGAGAAAGTACAAGGATTTTGAAAGCTTTGCCCCCCCCCCCCGAAAAAAATCCTGGCGACGCCCATGAGCCCGGGCTGTAGCCCAAAATTAATGTCATGATTGTCCGATCCCCTATGGTTGACATGTTATATAGCAATTACATTTTGTCCAAATGATGTGACAGCTTAGCTTTTTTCCTTTTTTTTTTAAACATCATGTAGATTCAGTATGGCAGCGAATATCCAGATTGGCCTGAAGTGTACTGCAAGACTTTGGTGTATCACCCTAATATCGAAAACGTGGATCAAGGCGGGGCCATATGTCTCAACTTCCTCGACGAAGAATATCAGTGTGGGTCCATGACCTTGGAGGGTGTGGTCCAAGGAATCTTGTTTCTGATGCACAACCCAAACCCGGAGGATCCATATGAATGGTTTTTTCCCCCTCACGGCACTCTCATGGACGAGAGCACGTTTGCAGACAATGTGAGATGTTCCCTTGACGGTGGGATGGTGAACGGTTATCAGTTTAAGAGGAACAGGGTGGTGAGAGGGGAGGGCCAGGGTAGGACTATCAATATAGATGAGGACATATTTAAGGAGGATGGGGTCATTGTACATGTCACAGACGGGGGTGGGGTGGGGGATAATGGGGATGCCAATGTCCTCAGAGAAGAGGGTAGGGCTAAGGAGGGTGGGGTTGCCTTTACAGATAAGAGTGGGACTATGAAGAGTGTTGTCATGGATAAGGGTGGGTTGTTGTCACAGATGATGGAGTGGCTATGGAGCCTCTTGTCCTCTGGAAAGACCATCCTGTTAAGGGTCCAGAGAGCACAAGATTATGCAAAGATGCACCTTAGAGCCAGATGACAAAGAGGTAATGAGAGACTGGGTTTGGGAAGGGGGGCATGGTTGAGATGAAAGTGGGTTATTTGGGGCATGTTTCAACTTAAGTATTACAAAAGCTAGCTGCATTTATGATAGTGCTGGAAGCCGGAAAGGTTCAGCCGGTATAGGCAAGGGCAAGAAAAAAAAGACCTGCAAATACTTTTCCCTTCATGTGAAATGCCTTATTTTTTGTTATAATAGTTGACTTAAATATACCTCAGTTTGACGTTGATAAGCCCAAAATGAATTCAGGGAATTATTATTGGTGAGCTTTAAATGCTGCCTAGCTTGATGTAAAGTCAGAATTGTAACCCCCCCCCCCACCTTTTTTTTTTATTCACGGAGGCCAGTGTTTAGCTTTCAGCACGGATGCAAATACCCTTTTCTCGCCACTGCAACGGGCTAAAAAAAATACCGGTTACGCGTTTTAAGGATGATCTATTTTTTTGTACATTTACCTTTAAAAAATGAAATTGTAACTTTGTAAAGTTGTCAACAATTCCTGTTCACATCTGTAAAAATTTTGAAATGAATTTAGGTCAATAAACTGATTTATTACGAATGCAGAAATGCAAACAATTATGTCGTATTTGTACTTTCTCCAGATACCACCGGGAAAGCGACCTCTATAATACCAATTCCATATAACAGCAGTACTGGCCCTCCCTAAACAGGTGCAGACAACCACTAATCTCCACGCAATCAGTGGTAAATATTATAGGCCCAAAATTACCTACGCCGGCACAAATTACTATTATAATTATTATTGTACGTAATACTATTAGTACAGAGTTTTATGGCCACTGCACTTTGCGATTTGAAGAAGTAATAAAGGATACCTGCCCTGAATCGGTGTTTTGAACTTGGCCCCACTATTTGGCAACGTAGTGGAGCGATCGTTTTCCAAAGAAGGTGATGGGCTTCAAGACTCAGTGACTAAAAAAAAACATAATTAGCATGGAAAAAAACATAATAACGCCGAGCTACGCGGCATAAAATTTCCTTTAAAAAATTAAATAAAAACGAAATTATAAAAATGTGTAGTGTCAAGCCTGGCATGCATTGGTCTACAGTACTTTACTCTGTACTAATACACGTCCGGGAATAATTGAAGCTTTTTCAAAACTAATCAGCTATATTTTTCAAATCTGCCATATTTTTCTGTCAGATCACCAAGTTTACACAATTCTGCTAGAAATCTGCAAAAAAAATCATTCTGCTAAATTTTCTGTATTACTCGTTATTTTTCTCGAAAAATTCTGTCAAATTTAGCCGAAATTCAGCTAAAATGGTCAACCTGGCGATTGCATCTTCACATAAGCGGAGGTACGGTGCGTTCGATCATGGAACCAGCACTGAAACTCATACTTGTGCATGGGGCCAATATAGAGAGACAAGATCTAGATGGACTAACTCCATGTTCTTGCACTCTAAGCTTCACTTTGCCGTATTTCGAGCAACCCAAAACGCAATGGACTTATGCGCCTATCAAAATATGTCCCCCCCCCCCCCCCCCCCCCCCCGCCTGCGCTGCCCCAGGTCCGATGTCGGGATTTGGTCACGTTTTTCATGCCCCAGGGTGAGGATTTTGGTCACTCAAGTGACATGGAAATGCATTTACCAGTGCGCCTCACGTATGTAAGTCGGGGCATGGTCGGGGATTGTCACTTAAATTTTGCCCGAGGGGTGGGGATTTTGTCACTTGAAAAGTGACAATCCCCACGTCTTGGGTGGGGCAGCCCGGGGGGGGGGGAGGGGTGGAAGAAACAATTGATAGGCGCATTATATTAGCAAGGTATACTGGATTTCCTTCGCATGTGAGCCGCACAGTCTAGTCATGCGTGCTACATACATATTTCCTGAAAAGTTTATTGCCTTTAAACATCTGTGCTGTTTTTCGAAGCTACTTTCCTAGTTAAGTGAAAGCAGGGAAAAGTGAAAGTATGTTCGAAATGACGGCAGGATTTTTACAGGATGACTAAATGTCAAGGGGAATTTTCCTTGATTTTTGACCAGTAAATACTAGTACAGCTTAGTTTCCTAGTGAATATCAAGTGGCCACAGGTAGGATTTCCACAGAAGGGAATATGTCGACTTTTAGGGACCGGCCGCACACCACTGAACAAAGTATAAGCCGTTTTGTTTCAATTGAAATAAGTATAAACAAGTAAACCAGAGCACATAGTTGTTTGAATTTTCGAATACATGTACCAAGATGTACAAATGATGATACTTTCCCCGGAGGTATAGTTTGGATCAAGAATAGGTCATGGGGAAAACTTGGGGCATCTTTGCCTCATTCACAGACACTTTTTTTAGGGAAACAATTCGAGATTTAAATAAATCAATAATCATATAATAAAGTCTGGGAATTGCAGTCTTAATGAGGGAATATTGAATTACATGCAAGTGATCACTCAATTGTCACCGTTGAAACAACAATAAATCACCAGATAGAAGAGAATCTGAATTCTGAAACAGTCACTTTCATTTGAAAGTCATTTTTTTATTAAAGGGATATGGCTGTTTTCAGAAACCTCTGACATAATCAGTGAAAATCATGCACAATCAATATTGTTCAAATTAGGGCACTTTGTTTGTTTCCCACTTTAAATTCTGTAAACTGAGTTGTAAGAGATAACACCCCCACCTTTACTGGTGACTATACTCCATCATTAGCCCCAATCTGATCTTTAGCGACATTACACTGTTCTTACATGTAGCTCCCCCCCCCCCTTATCCGCAATGACACCTCAAAACCTCGAAAGCCCCATGCTCATCCGACAACAACCTCACTCTCCTTAGTCCCACCCTCATCTAGCTGTGGTGACAACCTCACCCTCCCTAGTCCCACCCCCATCATCCACCACCTCACCCTTTTTAGCCTCACCCTCATCTGTAGTAACATCCCCCCTTTCCTTAACTCTGCCCTCATCAATGATTAAAGCCCCGCCTTCCTTAGTCGTGCCCCCATCTGTGATGACAACTTCATCCCCAGCATTTCTCTCACCACACATATTTGTGACATCATACCCGCCCCCATCTGCGACAACGACCCCATCCTCCTTAACCCCGACCTCATCTGTAGCGATAGCCCCGCCCTCCCCTCTCACCACCCTGTTCCTGTGAAAGTCAAAACCCTCCAATATCCCACCCTCCAGGGATAATCTCACATTGTCCGCAAACTCCTCCTCATCCATGCAGGGGTTGAAGACCGTATTCAGGGGATCCTCCAGGTTTGGATTGTGCATCAGGAACAGGATTCCCTGGACCACGTCCTCCAAGGTCATGGACCTAGACCAATGTTCATCGTCGAGCATGCTGAGGCATATGCTACCTTGCTCGTCATTTTCGATGTTAGGGTGGTACACGTAAGTCTTGCAGCACACTTCAGGTGCCTGCTGTGGATATCGGCTGCCGCACAGAATCTGCAGACCAGTTAAAAAAAATCAACATTAAACAAAGCCCACTGTAAAAATGATCAATCACCTTGCATGATTTTGGACAGACTGTACATGTACATCAAGCCTGCATGTCCACATTGACAAGGTATGGTCAGCTTTACATATAATGGATCCGGCAATACATGGGCCTATCAAGGCAAAGTACAACGATACATCTTGTCCCTGCCCATGCCTCCCTCTTTTAAATCAAACATTTGCAATGCATTTTTGTCTTTTTATATACATTCCCAGCCAAATTGTGATTAGTGTACCAGGCAAGTTCAAAATCTAAGGTGCTCCTTTCGACACACAGTATCAGCAAAAGGGTGACATTGAAATGGAAGAATGCATCTGGCATCTTAAGTAAAATAATAGTGAGGGTGCTTAGATCCTTCAAAAACTCTTGATGATGAGAAACTGTTTTTCCTTGTAATAGGGGGCACATGATGTACATTAGTATGTATTTTCTATGAAATACGCCTTAAAGCTGAGATTATCACCCCATATCACGCCGAATTCAGTGATTTTAAATGTCCTTTTCTTACCGAGAAGATGAACTCTCCATCCTTGTACAGCCCGCTATCTGGGATGACAGACACGGAGATGCCTTTCTTGAGGTCCGTCTCGTCCCATTCGACCAAGCGGGCCTGACCGCCCGACATACCGGCGATGTTCTTCATCAAGCGGTGGAAGTCCTTGGCAAGGCCTGCCTGGCCCTTCCCCCTTCCTTCAATAGCCATGGTGACAACGATTCGTGCACTTCAAGCCAAATCTTCGTAGTAAAATGAAGCGTGCATGCAAAGTTGCAATTTCAACTTTGTAACTTGCTTCTTCCTCGGTTGATCAAACTTAAACTTCGCTTCTAACTTGAACATATCATAACAGTAAAGCGAACTTCGGTTCCTCAGCTTCTTAACAATTTCAGCCGGGTTCGTCTAGCAAAATCTCCCCGCCGCCCCATGTTCGGCATTTTATTCTCACATTTTCGGTAAAACTGATCTCTACGCCATGATTGCTGTTGTACGAGTATGATACAGTCTTGCAGTGACAGCCGTTTATAAAGCACGTACAAATAAAAACATATATATTGCACCACCACAAGCCAACACATTTCAGGTTTATTTTGGGGAGACACGCATGACGTCATCGAATTACATCATTTCCTGACAATTAATAGTCATGTTGTGCCCATTCTTGAAAATCACGCAATCTTAAGAATGTGCACGCATTCTTAAGAATGAGCGCCCATTCTTAAGAACGAGCACGCGTTCTTAAGAATGAGCGCTCATTCTTAAGATTGGGTGGGAATATCACGTGCACAATTTATGAATTTTGCCCAATCTTAACAAACATTGCACGACATAATTATGTTAAATGAAATGTATAGCGGTTAAAAGGGAAACAATTTATATAAAGAGGAAAGAAAATGTTCTATGCTTCTGTACTCGTATAACTACGATAATTTGAATCAAATTAAACCTGTTATTATTGCTTTTTTCTGCCCACTATCGGAAGTTTTGTAATAACGGAGGACTGGGAACTAGTCTGGGAAGTGCTTTGTTTAGGCTAGACAAGTTACAAGTCCCTGTATGTATCATGCATGCCACGAAAAAAAAACGATGTCCAGAAGCTGCCAAAATCACTCTTTTGACTAGATAGAAACCAGCTCTGCGACGTATTGGTGGGGTGTGAACAATAAATTGGCGGCAATTTAAATGGGAAATAGCATTAGCACTATGGGATGTCGCAGTATTCATTCTCATTCTTCACATTCTTCATTCTTACGTTCCCCCCCCCCCCGCTTTTATTATCCCAAAAATCAGAATTTAATTCTTTCCACTAGTATTATTATGTCTCTTATTTTTTCCCGGTCCCCCCCCCCCCCCCATATCAATACGCCTATACTTATCATATCCACTCTACTTTTCAGCGCCTTGCGTTGCAACAGTATAATTATTGAGAATCAGTGAACGAGGATGCAGCTAGACTTGCATAGCGCAGCCGGTGCTCGGCATCGACAAGACCGTTATCTTGTCGCGCATTCTTAAGAATGTGCGCTCAATCTGGAAGAGTTATTTTTTGCGAAGATTGTGCAAGGATCCAGTTGCACATTCTTAAGAATGTGCATGCACATTCTTGAGAATGCGTGATTTTCAAGAATGGGCACAACAGTCAGAATCTTTTGGTGTGGAACCCGACTATTCCCTGGCTCTGCACTTTTGTCAACCACGGGTTGCAAAACTATGGAAGGTCCAACGCTGCAAAAATGAAGACGAGTTACTACAGATAACCAAAATATTATTTGATTCTTGGAAATACAACATTGTCAACAAAGCTAAAACATATTTCCTAAACATGCCTTTTTACTATGTATTGAGGGCGTTATGAGGACGTTTTTGTGGAAGAATAACGGCCAACCACGGCTTCAATTTATGCGCTTACGGCATATGGCGCCAATGTTTACAAACAAAAGAAAGGTCTTCTTTCTGTATTTGTTTTGTAAATACAATTTATGTTTTATAAATTTTTCCTAAAATATAAATACATGTTTGTAATTAAGAATATATTTTAAGAACATTGGTATTGCATTTATAGGTAAAATTTTGGGATTGATTGACAAACTTAAGGACGTGATTTGGGCCAAATTTTCGGCTATCCAAGCAAGGCACATGCAAGGGGTGGCATGGGTGGCTTGTGCGAAAGCGCTCGCCTCTCACCAAGGTGACCACGGTTCGAATCCTGGCCGCGGATCGCGTGTGAGTAGAGTTGTGCGTTGCCGTTGGTTCTCTCCTGTGCCACGAGGGTTTTTCTCCCGTTTTAGTAACTAGCTGTAAAAATGCCGATGTTTTTCTTTTGTTGCCTGAATTCCAGGTAAAGCCTTCAATTTCCACATTTTTTTCGGCTGCTGGTTAAAGTTCATGCATCAAAGGATACGATCCCAGTGAAAGTACATGTATGTCATTTTTTTAGGATGCACGCCTTTCAAAACACAACTTAAAGGCGAGTGCGCAGAAATAGGAGCGTGTAGCTTTAGGAGGTCTGACAATATTTGACAGAAAACATAACACATTTTGAAAGAAAATTGTCCCCCTTGGACTTCTCGTTGTTGCACTCTATAATAAGCTTCAGTCACTTCTTCGTATTTCGAGTAACCCAAAATGCAATGAACTTCAAAACAAAAAACAAATATCTGAAACGGTCACTTTTCATTTGAAAGTAAACAGTTTATTGAATGGATATGTTAAACATGACTGTTCTCAGAAACCACTGACAAAATCATATACAATCAATATTGTTCAAATAAATAAATTTTGTTTGTTTCCTACTTTATATTTTGTTGTGTAAACCGAGTTTCTAATGAGTTAGAAAATTAAAATTGCCAATTCTCATTATCAAAAGATGTTGTGTTTGTTTCCTCAAAAATTTCTTTTATGAGAAGCAGGTGGTTCTCATTAAAGTAAAGTGGCATTACCATGGCATTACTTTGCAGATGATTTCTGCACCAGCTCACGCTTCTTGAAAATGTATGATGCTTGCTGTTCATTGTAAGTATATTTAATTAACACTTAATAATTTTGCTTGTTATCACATTTTGAAAGTACATGTACTGAAATAAATGGATACTTGAACTGAAGTGAGTTGGTTCAAATCAATCTACTCCTTTTAAAATGTACATGTGAACAGAAACTCTTCATAGTTTGACATTTTGGTTTCTTTAGTACATAACATGAGAAAAAGGTAGATCAAACATCCCATGACATTATATTTCACCAATTCTGACTTTAGGCAGTATGTAAAGCTTAAGATGTAATAATAAAGCACAGTTCATTTTGGGATAATCAACGTCAAACTGCGGTACTCATCAACCATTACATGCATTCGTGAGATAGAATTTACATTACATGCATACAATAAATAAGGCATTTGACCAACGGAAAATATTTAAAGGGCTTTGGTCCATGCCCACTAACTCTTATAATATTTAGTTCACCTTTATCCCACCCACGCCTTTCACCAAATCAAAACCCTTTGTCATTTGGCTCTTTTTCATTTGGATCTAAAGGTAATCGTGTGTTCTCTGGACCCTTAACTGGGAGGGTCTTGACAAAAGGCTCCAAAGCCCCGCCCTCATCGGTCATGTGAGGTCTGCACCTTCATTGGTGATAACATCACCATCATTAACCCTACTCTGATCTTTGGTGACAGTACTCTTGGCCCCCTCTTTACTACAACTCCGACTTTCGTGGCCCCATTCTCATCTGACGACAGCCTCATTACATACACTCTAGTCACACCCTGATCTGTGGTGACATCTTTCTCTTAGTCCCTATGATAACTGCCTCACCCATTTTTAGCCTCACCGTCATCTGTAGTAACATCCCCCCTTTCCTTAACTCTGCCTTCATCTATGATTAAAACCCCGCCTTCCTTTGTCTTGCCCGCATCTGTGATGACATTTTTGTCGCCAGCATTTTTCTCCCCACCCACATCATCTGCGACAACGACCCCATCCTCCTTAACCCCGACCTCATCTTTAGTGATAGCCCCGCCCTCCCCTCTCACCACCCTGTTCCTCTCGAAGTAAAAACCCTCCAACATCCCACCATCCAGGGAACACTTCACATTGTTCTCAAACTCCTCCTCATCCATGCAGGGGTTGAAGAGCACACTCAGGGGATCCTCCAGGTTTGGGTTGTGCATCAGGAACAGGATTCCTTGGACCACGTCCTCCAAGGTCATGGACCCAGACCAATGTTCATCGTCGAGCATGTTCAGACATATGTCCCCGCTACATTGCACGTTGTCGATGTTAGGGTGGTACACGAAAGTCTTGCAGTACACATCAGGTGCCCGATCTGGATATCGGCTGCTGCAATGAATCTGCAAATGAAGTAAAAAACAAAAACAAAAACATAAAAAAAATGCTGTAAAATGATCAATCACTGATTTAAATTTTGACAGAACTGTACATCAAGCCTGTCCTCACAGACAACTTGGTATATGGTAAGATAATTGATCCGGCAATAGGTGGGCATCAAGGCCAAGTACAATAATTAATAACCGGCATCTTGTCCCTGCCCACTTCCTTTTTCCTCTGCCTCCGTATTTTAAAGAGGTTGTGGAATGCTCGAAAACATTTCCGTCAGTTTTCGGGTATATGTAGCCTGGTGTGATGAAATTAAAAACGACTATTGTGTCTGTCATGAAACGAGTACAAAAGGTACTTTTGAGAGCTGTTTTTCAGGTCCTGTTTCGACCCGAACGTGCAATTTGTGTAAAAGTCGTCGTTGGGGGCAGCAAACAAAACATAGTAAATCGTGACGTAATAAACAGGACTCCCGATGTAGCTGCGTAGTATAAACATGGAGGAATAAACGAGTTCACCCCACCACTAAAATTCAGTGATTTTAAATTTCCTTTTCTTACCGAGAAGATGAACTCTCCATCCTTGTACAGCCCGCTATCTGGGATGACAGACACGGAGATGCCTTTCTTGAGGTCCGTCTCGTCCCATCCGACCAAGCGGGCCTGACCGCCCGACACACCGGCGATGTTCTTCATCAGACGGTGGAAGTCCTTGGCCAGCCTCCGGCCGGCCTGGCCCTTCCCCCTTCCTTCAATGGCCATGGTGACGACGATTGCTTGCACTTCAAAGCCAAATCTTCTTAAAATGAAGCTTGCAATTTCAACTTCGTAACTTACTTCTTCCTCAGTTGATCAAATTTGAACTTCGCTGCTAGTGCTAAAGCGAAATCCGGTTCCTCGGTTTCTGAACAAAGTCAGCCGGGTTCGTCTAGCAAAATCTCCCTACCGCCCCAGTTCGGCATCTTATTCTCACAAGTATTTCGCTCTATGCCATGATTTCTGTAGTGTATGAGTACGAGTATGACATGTTCTTGCATAGTGACCGGCGTTTATATAGCAAGCGCGTGAAAAAAACATATTGCACCACCACGAGCCAACATGTGTTTACAAATTTCAGGTTTATTTTGGGGAGACACGCATGACGTCAGTGAATTACATCATTCTCTGGCCCAAAATAAAATGCTGAATAAACACAAGTTTTATTGTATCTGTTTTGTAAGTACAATTTATGTTTTATATTTTTTTCCTAAATACAGTGTATAAATATGTATTTGTACATTAAAGTATATATTTTAAGAGCATTTTTATTTTATTTATACGCCAAATTTTGGGATTCAAATTAAATCTACTTAAGATTGATTGACAAAGGACGTGATGGAGATCAACGACCTCAGCTCATCACTGCCTCAGCGCTCCGCGCCGTACGTACATGTGTACGTACGTACGTATTTCATGTATTTCCATGTATTCTGCATCATGTATGTCATTTGCATATGTGGCTCGACTAGCAATATTTGTGCCCAACAAAGTGTTGCAAGTATGTTGCTAGGATGATCCTAGCGTTATGGTTTATGCAATTGGGATGAGCATTTTTTTTAGGTAGGCCTAGTGGTAGCTCTACTGAGTGGAGCGCTGAATTACGGGTACCCCTCCATACTAGCTAGTATGGAGGGGTACCCGTAATTCAGCGCTCCACTCAGTAGAGCTAGCCTAGTGGATATTTTGCCGGAGGTAACGCCGGCAAACTAACGTTTAGGCCTACTAAAGGTTTGCCGGCGGCAATCTATATCAACAGAGGGCGCTGTACTCTTTAAGACGGGGCTGAATTATAATATGTATTAAATTCCCACCAAAGTTGTGTAGCACAATCGGTGCAGTGGATAAGCAATTGCTCTAGCGAGTGGGATGTCCCGAGTTCGAATCCTGATCCTCGCCACATTTTTAAGGGTTTTTTTTCCATCCCCAAATAAATAAGAATATTCTTCTTTTTATTATTTTAACATGTCTCAAACATTTTATTGCAGAGTACTATTACATATTCTTTTTCAGATTTGTGGCTCTGGATGATTTTTTTTAAAAGGGAAATAAAGTCCGAAATTATAAAATGGTCTGAATCCCATCTTGTGAATACGAGGTCACAACGATATTATTGGCATGGAGCCAGACTAAAATTTGTCGCCGGAAAATTTTTTTAAGTACAAAAAAACAGTAACTGCGCATGTTCAGTGCATATCCGGCATACTAACGTTTACTGAAGGTTTGCCGTCTCCGGCAAAATATCCACTGCCTTTTTTTTATCGTCAGACCCCCCAAAAAAAATCACGGAAAAAATGACAAGGATAAGTTTTGACGCACTCGCAAGTCGCATTCAATTTGCGTTGGACAACGCTCGCGGATTGCAAGGGTTTAATATCTGCGTCAATTATGGTGACTTGACGATATAGCTCCATGCTCCATGCATGATCTCGTTTCGGTTTGGATAGGGCATTAGGCGGGGAAAAGGACCATTCCCATATCTGGCCTAGTAGACCCACTTAGTTTGGCCTTGAGTAACTGAGTCCAGCTTAACAAACTCACATCACTTCACATGTGTAATCAGCAGAGTTGTAACAAGTCACTGATTTTTGTGACTCGAGTCGAGTCGAGTCATTTTAAAGAAGTGACTCGAGTCGAGTCGAGTCATTAGTCAACAAGGTCGAGTCGAGTCGAGTCGAGTCACAGAGTGTGGTCGAGTCGAGTCGAGTCGAGTCAAGTATTTTAGCTCGAGTCAATTCGAGTCACAAATATTTGAACACTAAATTACAATAAAAAGCAACAAACACAAGAGAGAAAGAATACAATGCACCAGTCTATTACGGAAATCCAAAGACATAAAGTATGCTGTACGGTACCCAACCAACAGTTTCCATTGCTAGCTCACGTCACAGATAAGAAGATGTGAAACTTCGGTCTTATAACTGGTTTGGCTTCGGGTCTGGATTTTGTTGTTCGCTGATCGCTGACAACATTAAAACCTAATTGCATTATACAAAACTGTTTCTGATTATTTAAAGGTGGGCCCGTCCGTATCCATTTGTTTGTGTGAAATCGGGACATGAATTTAGCCAGCGTTCCACCAAGAACTTCAAAACGCCCGAAACCAATGATGAAACCACGGATTGAGAAATGCGTTTTAAGTCTGGTTCCGGGTTTAGCATTACATGCTATAGCCCACAAGGTGGGAGTCCGCGACACGGTGTATGCTTGTTGTTTCATTATGGAGGAAGGAAACAGACTGCCGCTGTATATAAACTTACATTATTCACGAACATTAACGTGACGTGAACAAAAACTGGCAACGCGAACGGTAAGTCATTGCAAATGTTTTTTGCAAGTAAGTTTTGCTTTTATCTTGGGACTCGAGTCTTATTAGCCTTCCTCGAGTCGAGTCGAGTCATTCTGATGAGGGACTCGAGTCGAGTCGAGTCATTTGCTCGCAGTGACTCGAGTCGAGTCGAGTCATTTACCCGTCGGGACTCGAGTCGAGTCGAGTCGCCAAAAAATGTGACTCGAGTCGGACTCGAGTCGAGTCATTGACTCGAGTCATTACAACTCTGGTAATTAGTAATGCTGGAGACATAACTATGGCATTAGAGTGTGGTCGTAAGATAGTTATGTCTCCAGCGTTACATGTGAATTCCTGATGAGCTTGTTAAGCTGGAGTTACTCAAGCCATGGAGGAAGCTAAGACCCACCATATGACTGGGGCCCTAGAACTTAAGTTATAGTAGAACTCCTTTTTTGACATTTAGGATGTGGTCTGTCGTACAAGCAGACCACATCCCAAATGTCAAAAAAGGAGTTCTAACTAATAGCGCCCCGGTTAGTGGATCTAGCCTAGTCCCACACTCACCCTGTTTATATAGGGATAGAAAAGAAGTCAGATAGATAGAAGGGAGCACGTGCGCTGGATCATCAGTCATGTATACTGAGCACAGAGCCAACGAGCTCCAGAGATCGAGCTGGCTATAACCGTAAAACTTGATGAACTAATTCCAAATGTGTAGTTAAGCAGCATTTTGAAGTGCATACATGTAGTTAACTACATGTTCAAATTTTGTTTGTGTTTTCACTGACAGTAAAGCCCTGCCTGGAATCTGAAGATTTGGATCAATCCAGGGGAGACTTGAAGAGGGAAGCATCCAGCCCTGGTGATGATGCTTGCATAGTCTGTGACATTCTGTGAGGACCGCTCATTGCTGAATTCGATGCAATATTTAGTTGGCCATCAGGAACAAGTATTGCCAAAAAATGAACACAAATGTACATGAAGGTGAGAAACCATTCATTTCTGATACCTGTGGTAAAGCTTTTACAGGACTACATGACAGGATTCACACCGGTGAGAAACCATTTGTTTGTGCAACCTGTGGTAAAAAAATTAAAATAATCTTGCTGATCGTTTTCCATCGTATCAACAATCTCGAAGTGCTTTACAATTATTACCCCGTTTATCAGGCCATGGGACCACGCGGCAGCCAATTTCAGCACTCAATCGGTCCTCGACCCTCACAGGTACCCATCTGTACTCCTGTGTGGAGAGAGGCAATTGTAGTTAAGTGTCTTGCCCAAGGGCACAAACACCATGTTCCTGGCCGGGTTCGAACCCACGCACCTTCGTACACGAGTCAAACACCGTAACCACTGGACCATGGCGTTCTTACATGTATTGGTTTGCCCAGTTTTTTTCCCATATGACACCCATGGGCCAGCCCTATTTTGCCCACAGGGGCTTGCCCAGGTTTTTCCAATCATGATATCACATGGGGTTGCCTAGTTGTTACCCATATGTCGCCTTAGAATATGGGCTACCTGTATTCAACCCACATGGGCTTACCAAGGTTTTTCCCACATCATATACATACCCCAGCCGGTATTCTGCATCTGCCCACTGGCTTTCCCAGGTTACTCCCATGTGACACCCATGGGTTAACCCATTGTTTGGCCCATATGAGCTTGCCCAGGTTTTTTTCCAAATATGACACCCATATGGGCCAAACAATGGGTTAACCCATATGGGTGTCACATGGGGAAAACCTGGGCAAGCAAGTGGGCAGATGCAGAATATGGGAAGCCCAGTTAGACCCCCGCATGGGATGATAACCCATATGGGTCCCTTATCAAATAGTTAGTGTTAATAGCCCATGCCCAGGTTTTCCAGCTTCTTCCCATATGGGCCCCACATGGGCTTGGTACATGTACCTGGGACTGAGGGATGTACCTGGGACTGAGCCATACAGTGGAAAGTATGTGCTATAGCAACAAGAGTGCTGGCCAGCCTGAGTAATGTGGTTACCCTTAAGACATGGAAGATAGGAGCTCTGGTAGTTGTGGCCATGAAATTATTAAGTTAAGTTTCCCCTGTAGGTTGGTAAATGTAGTTTGCCATTAGTTTTAAAGTGATGTTTCTTCTGAGGTTTGACAGTAGTGGCCTTACTGATTTAATGCGTTCTTATCGAGCAAACTGACTTTACCTTAGTTTGTTACATTGCTTGTTTATAATGATGTTTGAATAAATACTTTCACATAATTTGGCAAAGTGATCAGGGCCCAATTTCATGGAACCCGTAACGATTAGAGAGAAATCGCCGCTAACTATAGCGGAAAATTCCGCGCTAACGGTTAGTGTATTTCACGGGTTAGCAAGGAATTTTGGATTGTGTGCATGCGTACTTCCCGTTACAAAGGATTCTGTGCTTACAAGGTTAGCGCAGAATTTTTGTGATTGCTCGGTTTGCATAAAATTGCGGGCGGTTAACACAAAATTCGGCGTTAAGGATTTCATGAAATTGGGCCCAGACCTACTCACAACAGTCTTCTCTTTGTCCTTAACGTTACCACTTGACAGCTGGGTAACTTGGTTCTTGGTTTCTTGGTTGGTTCTTCTCCTAAATACTCCACGTGGGAGTTTATACAGGAGGCTAGAAACACCGAGGCAAACCCCTTCTCTTAGCGATAAGTGTTTACTGGGTTCTTTTACGTGCATTTATACATCACACGATAAACAATGATAAACATAAACTCACTAACTAAGTTACATTTGTTTGTGCTTTTAACACAGCCTCCAGCTAGGTGACAACACTGACAGCAAAGTCCTGTCTGGAATTTGAAGATTTGGATCAATCAAGGGGAGACTTGAAGAGGGTAGCATCCAGCCCTGGTGATGATGCTTACATAGTAGCATTCTGTAGAGACAGATGGTTACATCATTAATGCAGTATTCAGTCGACAACCAAGACAAGCACTTCAGAAAAATGGACACGAAAGGACCTGAGCTCATCTGTCACCAGGATGTCCACAATGGTGAGAAACCATTCGTTTGTGTGACTTGTGGTAAAGCCTTTACTCAGCGAGGCAGTCTCAACAAACATCAGAAGGTGCACACTGGTGAGAAACCCTTCGTGTGTGCAATCTGTGGTAAAGCCTTTACTCAACTAAGTGCTCTTAAACAACACATCAGGGTTCACACCGGTGAGAAACCATTTGTCTGTTTGACCTGTGGTAAAACCTTTACTCAGCGAGGTCATCTTAACCGACACGAGAGTGTTCACACTGGTGAGAAACCATTTGTTTGTGAGACTTGTGGTAAAGCCTTTACTTGCCAAAGTAGTCTATGCGTGCATGAAAGGATGCACACCGGTGAGAAACCATTCGTGTGTGCAATCTGCGGTAAAGCCTATACGCAACTAGGTACTCTGAAACTACACAACAGAGTTCACACTGGTGAGAAACTATTTGTTTGTGGGACTTGCGGCCGAGCTTGTACACAGCTAAGTGATCTTCGCAAACATGAGAGAATTCACACTGGCGAGAAACCATTCGTTTGTACAACCTGTGGTAAAGCTTTTGCGGCAGTAAGTAGTCTTGGGGTACATGAGAGGATTCACACCGGTGAGAAACCGTTTGTTTGTGAGACCTGCGGTGAAGCCTTTACTCAGCGAGGTAATCTCAAAAAACATCAGACGGTGCACACTGGTGAGAAACCCTTCGTTTGTGATACCTGTGGTAAAGCTTTTACTCAACGATCTGATCTATGTAATCATGAGAGGGTTCACACAAGTGAGAAACCATTCCATTGTGAGATCTGTGGTAGAGCCTTTAAAGCACAGAGAGATTTACGTAAACATGAATTGATACACACAGGTGAGAAACCATTCGTTTGTAAAACCTGTGGAAAAGCCTTTACTCGGCAGTCTAATCTAATCAGACATAACAGTGTCCACACAGGTGAGAAACCATTTGTTTGTGAGACCTGTGGTAAAGCCTTTTCTGAGCAGACTGATCTACGCAGACATCACAGTGTGCACACTGGTGAGAACCCAATCACTTGTGCAACCTGTGGAAAAAGTTTTACCAAGCAAAATGCTCTATCAAGACATGACAGGGTTCACACAGGTGAGAAACCATTTGTTTGTGAGACTTGTGGTAAAGCATTTGCTCAGCGAGGTCATCTTAAACGACATGAGAGGAGGCACACTGGTGAGAAAGCATATGTTTGTGAGACCTGTGGTAAAGCCTTTACTGAGCGAGGTACTCTTAGCCAACATGAGAGTGTGCACACTGGTGAGAAACGTTTTTGAGACCTGTGGTAAAGCTTTTACTTTGCAAAGTGTTCTAAACAGACTTGTGACAGGGTTTAAACGAGCGAGACCGAGACCATTCATTGTGAGACCTTGTGTAAATCTTCCTCAACCAAAGTCGTGCTCCCGTTGGACTTTTTTGGGTTTACTTATGACTTTCCTGTAGAATGACAACTTTAAGGCCAATGGGAACAGTAGGTAAAATAACCTTCCTGTCACTGGGGGGGGGGGGGGGGGGGGGGGCTTTAGCCCCCCAAAATTTTGTCTAGCCCCCCCCCCCAAAAAAAAATTCCATATAAACAAAAATGCACCAACCAAATGTAAGAATGTGACGTACACGCGAACGGGTCTCCCCCTAAATAGTCGTGAGATGGGTACATTTTGTACACTATTAGTTAATATAGTGTGCATGATTCTAGGATTTTATCAGCGCTCCCCATTGAAAATATGGCACGAGCCCCCCCCCCCCACCCCATCCCACCCCACCCCACCCCACCTATATTAATTTTGTGAGGTCTTAAGTGTCCGGAGAAAATAACGGGTGTACATATCTGCACGCCTCCCAGAAAAAAATCTGGATCCATCATCCATCCCAGTGCTAGCCCCCTAAAATATTGGCTCTAGAACCGCGCCTAACAAAACAATTGTTGACTGCGCAATTGTTGACTGCACAATTGTCGGGGCGCATAATGCACCCCTCGGGTGTTCAAAATGATATCCCACATCACAGCAGTCAACAAGTGTTAAGAGTTACTAAAAAAAATCCAAGTGGGAACACACAGTAGACTTACGCAAAGGAATGTGGAATGTTTCGGCATGGCTGGCAAATGAGCTGCATGGTCAGGAAAGAGTTTCACTGCACTGATTAAATGTGTTACTTGAAAAGTAGGTTCCAACCATTTATCCTTTTGACCTATTCTGACAATAATTATAACAAATCAATTGTTGACTCTTGTGATTTGGGACACGATGTTTTTAACCCTCTCGGGACGCAGCAACCTCGGCGAAGCGCCCTGATGTGGGGGGTAACGGTTACAAACGTCGTATCCCACATCACATCAGTCAACAACTGTTAAATGTAACCTTCATTTTAATAGTGCTGTGTAATTTTAGTTCAACTCAAGATTTCATACGTGGTGTTATCATGGGATCGTACATGTATTGGTCATTGATTGCGAAGACATTGGTTTACTCTAACATGCAAATGAGTAGCAAGCCCAGTGTAGTAAAAGTTGCTATACATTGTAGGGCTACTGTTTAAATTAAGTTACACATTCAGGCAAATTCCATTTCCATTTGTCTTGTAAAATACGACATGATTTAGCAAGACTCCAGCAATTTCGTTAAATGTGACGTGCCATAGCATAATGAGGAATAACCCCCATCTCTGACTTTCAAGTTATATACCATGCACATCATGTTAGAGCACAAATCATTAGTTTTCTGTAGCTGAATTTATTCCAAAGATATGTCGCAGGAACTTCAACAGTGTCCCGCCAATCTTCGCTAACCGCATTTCGAGAAAAACGGTTTTGACAAAAAATACGCATTGCGCCGTCAGTGGCAGTGACAAACGTTCTTCAGTTTTTTCCACTTTTGGGGGTATTTTATTTCCCAGCAAAATATTGTGAATCTTAACTACTCACAAAATATATACAAAACAACCAATATCAATTTTGACATGATTTTTCTACTACATGTACATGTACATGTATATCCGACTTCAGGCGTCGATTACTCAAAACAAGGTTTTGGGGGACTTTCCTTATTTTGCCTCAGTAGGTCATGTGTATTTTTTCCTCAAATGTGTTTTGTTCTATTTAACAATTTACACTGTACTTTAGCTTAGTTTGTGACCAGCTTTTGTGATAAGGCGAACAATGTGTAGGGATGCCCTGGTTTTACTTAATTTATAATATATATTTCATGATTATATTACATGTACGTAATGAATTTCTTGCCAGCTTTGTTATCTTATTAGTCCAAGCTTAACCAAAAATTGGCTAAGCACAGCATAACATTTCCAATGGGAATTTTTGTTTGAGAACTATATTTAACAGAATAGTGCATGTGCATGCTTGTAGCAGAATAGTTTGCCCTACAGTCTATAGCTACAATGTATTTGACTCCTGGTTTTCGAAAAATTAAATCTTCGTAAATTAAAAGAAAAAAAACACAACAACATATGTTTCAGAGTGTGGTTTTCAAGTGAGTACCGTACTTATTGGGGCGCTATTTCTAATTAATTATAAAGAATCCCATACTGCTTTGTCGTGGATTTTCTCATCCCTGATCAAAATCTGGAAAGTTAAATTGGAGGATTTGGTAGATTTAATCCAACTAAAAATTTTTGTAAAGTTTGGTGGTGTAACCACAGGCTTCAAAATTGGACTGCAACATTATGACTGAGAACCAGAACAAATTAGGTTCAACACAGCTACACTCTGAATGACCATGTACATGTATGTGTATTGAAAACAATTGAAGAGTTTCATCTTTCTCACAAATTCAAATGGGACTACCAATAATGATTTCATTGCTAAGAAAGCTAATTAAGTGCTGAGGAATTGGTAAGAAGGAATTTCGAAAAGTTCTCCAAATTGTCAAAATAATTAGCATAACTTGCTCTTCTTGGTCGTCCATGTCTCGAGGATATGCATTGACTCTCTACCATTTTTTCGAGACAAAATATATCAACCATCAGTTTGAGATGCATGGTCCAGACTCAAAGAGGCCATGGGCGTCGCAAGGGGGGGGGGGGAAAGGGGGGGCACTTGCCCCCCCCCCCCCCGGAAAAGCAAAAAAAAAAGGAAGAAAAAAAAGAAAAGAAAAAGAGACGCGAAGACAAAGTGGTGAAAATTTAATGTGTTGGGGGGGGGGGCAAAATGTCCGTGCCCCCCTCTAAAACTGATCAATCGAGAATGTTTTGAGAAATACAAGCATTTTTTGGCAAAAATTTTTTTTGCCCCCCTCTAGAAAAAATCCTGGCGACGCCCATGAAAGAGGCGTACATGTACAGCACCTTTTGTTTTTAATAATAACACCATACATGTAGGTACAGCGTGACTGATATGATCACCAAATTCGGATGGAATACTTTACGACAGACACGTGAAGTAGCTAGATTGTATGAAGAAAACACATAGGCTGTTCCGAAATAATTACCCTGAGTCATACGTCAGCGCCAACAAGGACATGAACATCTTCATCCCTTAAAAATGCGTTAAAGAGCCATTTTCCCTTGAAATTACAGTTAACTAAATTTTCACTGATTATTTAACATATTAAGCCAGATTATGAGTCCGTGAAAATACTCTTAAGAAAGTCCTTTCTTTACGCATAGAGATAGATACCCATGTACCGTTATGTACACGTATAACCAATGATAATCCTCAGTGGCCAGGGTCATTGAAAAAACCGTAAAAAATACCCTTACAGGATTAGTCCTACATGTATATAAGCCCCATGTAAATGTCCGTGAAACATCTCTTAAAGATCCTTTTCACGGAGAAATGGACTTTTAGTGAAAGTTTAAGGGATCCTGTTCATAGTACAGATCCACAACTGCACATTTACATGTACTATAAAAATCGACCCTATGGGAAGACAGATGCATGTACAGGTATGCATTCCTACATGTACACAGAATGTGTAGGGACTGCAACAGCTGTTCGTTTATTATCAAGGTCTAATTTTAAGACAGATTTCATCAGGTAAGCCCAAAAGGGACCATAAATCACTTCAAAATACTGTAACGTTGGTGATGGTCCGCCGGCGGAGGGTGCCATCTCGGACCCATGATGCAACCATAGCGTTGGGACCTGTGCTGCCAGGGAGACCCATTGCCTGACTGCGCAGACTTGGTAGTGTGACATTTTTGAATAACTCATCTTTGTCAAGAGTTGTATAAAAGAGAGAGCCTCGTGTAAGAAACTGGCCGGAAAAAATAAGGTAGAACCCCAAACCCTGAGGAATACCGTCCGTGGTTTCCTTCATCTGGCGTGTGAAAACCCAGGATCTGGTCAATGTTCATGGTGGCAGCAGTGGGATGTCCGACGGAGGAAAAACAGGCAGAATTTTGAGTTTTTCCGCCATACATACACTGGGTCGCGTTAGTCTGGCATCCAACTTACCAAGCGGCGAACGGGTACGCAGGCTGGATCAGGGCCTCGCAGAGCATAGGCCAACTTAGTGAGATGGCCAGCAAAACGTTTGTCACTTTGAATAACTGGGAGTTGGAATTTTTCAGGGTTATGTGGAGGCAGGGCCTACATATGCTAGGTCCCACCAGGAACCACCACGCACTGTACACGGCAGCATGGCAGATGCTCCTTTCCACTCGAAATGTCGGGCTGTGCCTGTTGATGCGGCAGTGAAGGGGCTTCGTTTCGGGACCCCATGGGATGATTTTGCCATTACGCCTATTGCCAAGTCCCATGGGAATCGCCCCGCGCTGTACACGGCGGTTGAACAGATGACCGGTTCCGTGTGGAACACTGCCGATTTCAGCCTTTGGATGCAGCAGGGGTGGAGCTTCATCCGGAGATCTCTCTCCTTCACCAACACAAGTGCCAGGGCCCACGATTGGAACAGCCCCATGACACACACTGTTTTTGTGACCTGTAGTAAAAGCTTTATTGGCCTTTGCAACCTGCCGTCTACAAGTGGTATGACACGACAAACAGATTGTACATGTTGCTGGGTCCAATACCAAATGTGTAGTAAAGCTGTATTTTGAAGCTTGTAGTAAACTTGGTATGTTTCATTTTGCTTGTGTTTTCAACACACCCTGCAGGTGACAACACAGACTGCGGCATCCAAACTGGAATCTGATTTTGGATCAGTCAAGGAGAGACGTCAGGACGGTAGCATCCAGCCCTGCGTGATATGCTTTTTTAGTCGGCAGCATTCTGTAGAGTCGGATGTCTACAGCATTGGATGCTATATTTAGTCGACCATAAAGATATCCGCTCCAGGAAAATGAACACAAAGGGATTTGAGCTGATTTGTTACCAGAGGGTGCACAACGGTGAGAGCTCATTGGTTTTGTGCAACCTGTGGAAAAGCATTTAATTCACAAAGTAATCTACACACCCATTGAAGGATGCACGCGGGAAAGAAACCATCCATTCGTGTGACCTGTGGCAAAGTCTTGGCTTACCAAACTAAGCGACAGGAACACGACAGGGTCCACACGGTCGAGAAACCATGCGTTTGTTCAACATGTGGTAAAGCCTTTACTCATCCAAGTGGTCTTCGCAAACATGAGCGGATTCACACTGGTGAGAAGCCATTTGTTTGTGCAACCTGTGGAAAAGCCTTTACTGTACATAGTAGTCTTCAACGACATGACAAAGTTCACACTGGTGAGAAACTATTTACTTGTGCAACCTGTGGTAAAGCCTTTACCCAACAAAGTAGTCTTCAACAACATGAAAGGATTCACACCGGTGAGAAACCATTTATTTGTGTAGCCTGTGGAAAAGCCTTTAATTTAAAAAGTACTCTACACAGACATGAAAGGATGCACGCGGGTGAGAAACCATTCGTTTGTTTGACCTGTGGCAAAGCCTTTGCTTACCAAGCTAAACTACAGGAACATGACAGGGTTCACACTGGTGAGAAACCATTTGTTTGTTCAACCTGTGGTAAAGCCTTTACTAGCAGAAGTGGTCTTTACCAACATGAGCGGATTCATACTGATGAAAAGCCATTTGTTTGTGCAACCTGTGGAAAAGCCTTTTCTTGCCCAGGATCTCTTTGCGTACATAAAAGGGTGCACACAGGTGAGAAACCATTCGTTTGCACATCCTGTGGTAAAGACTTTACTGTACAAAGTAGTCTTCAACAACATGAAAGGATTCACACAGGTGAGAAACCATTTGTTTGTGCAACCTGTGGTAAAGCCTTTACTGTACAAAGTAGTCTTCAACAACATGAAAGGATACACACTGGTGAGAAACCATTCGTTTGCACATCCTGTGGTAAAGCCTTTACCGCACAAAGTAGTCTTAAACAACATGAAAGGATTCACACTGGTGAGAAACCATTTGTTTGTGCAACCTGTGGTAAAGCCTTTACTTCTCATAGTAATCTATGCGCACATGAAAGGATTCACACTGGTGAGAAACCATTCATTTGCGTGACCTGTGGCAAAGCCTTTGTTCACCAAGCTAAACTACAGGAACATGACAGGGTTCACACTGGTGAGAAACCATTTGACTGTACAGCCTGTGGTAAAGCCTTTACCCATCGAAGTGGTCTTCGCCAACATGAGCGGATTCACACTGGTGAGAAGCCATTTGTTTGTTCAACCTGTGGTAAAGCCTTTACTCATCTAAGTGGTCTTCGCCAACACGAGAGGATTCACACTACTGATGAGAAGCCATTTATTTGTGAGACTTGTGGCAAAGCTTTTACTCAGCAAACCAGTCTCAACAAACATGGCAGGGTTCACACTGGAAAGACCATTCATTTGTGAGACCCGCTGTAAAAACGTTTTTCGTCAACCAAGTTGTGCGAAGACACATAAACGGGTCCACATTGCACCCGGTGACGATAAGCTACAATATGGATTTTGCAAACATTGCCAGGATGCTTAAACCTTTTACTAATTATTTCTACTCAGCTGAATGACGATTAGAAACTTGTTCCGACACACCTACATTGTATGTTCTGACACCCCTATGTTCCGACTGCACATACATGTATTCCTTTCCAAAACCCTAACCCTAACCGGGAGTAGCATAATCTTACGTGCGGGTTGTCAGAACATGGGTGTCGGAACATACCGGTAGGGGCGTTGGAACATAGATGTAGAGCAGTCACTATTTGAGTATAACTTCAGTCCTGGTGGTGACTGCTCTATGTTCCGACACCACTATGTTCCGACAACCTAGATTGTGTTACTCCCGGTTAGGGTTAGTTTTAGGGTTAGGGTTAGGGAATATGTGCAGTCGGAACATAGGGGTGTCGGAACATAGAGGTGTAACCGTCCTGGTAGATACATGTATTGTTTTTGTGTTTTTTATTCTTACGATCTTGTTTTACTCTGGCTCCCTTGACATTCTTCACCAAATCCTCCGTGCACATACATTGCACATGTGCGTAGCTAGGGTGAAACTTCTAGGTAGCACCTGGGCTGTATCAACTTTACTGAATCCTTGTATTGGGAGATAAAGAGTTGAAAAGAAACAATATTGCAACTTATTTCTTGTAGGCTGACGTAATCAGTTTTAAAGTGTTAATGTGTAAAGTTAAGATTTGTTGTTCTACTTGTCAATTTTCTTAATTGTTGCCAAGTGTTCTGTGTTTGTATCACAGATTTGATATCCCAGTCTTGAATAGTCTTGATCTTAATTTTATTTTAGCTAACAGCAATATATTCGATGGGATTGAGTATTTAATATGTATGCCACTTGTTGGCTGTTTTGGCACCTTTGCACAAACACCCTCCGTTTTCGTTAAGATTTTGTTTCCTTTCTTTTCTTTTTCAGTCATTTGCCAAAATTTGTACACGTGTTTTGGCCCCGGCACTTTGGGCACTAAAATCAATCCGATTGTCTTCATACTTGGCACACACATGGACCAGCACCTGCCAATCAAACAGTGCTGTATAAGTTTTGTTCAATTGAACTTGGGCCACACTCACCTTTGATGTCACCAATTTCATGCCTATTCAATGCTTAATCCAGATTCAGCATGTCCAGGTGAGAGTGGCCCAAGTGAAATTTACACCCTTTCACTGAATTGATTGTATTTCTGGCTTTAGGGACCCAAATGGAATTGGGTAAAAAAGGAGTGTGTTGAGAAATAGTCAGGCTTTAAAGCAATGTACATAATTTTGTTGAAGAAAATAAACAAACAACTTTAATTCTTTGTTTTCTGATTGTTGCACTTTTTTTGGCACACTCTGGTATACAAATATACGTACATGTAACATGGTTAAGTGGGTAGTCGATATTGCATTGTTAGTCATTGTAGCTCCCGAGGTAACGGAAGTTGACAAAAAAGTTCCCTTTGTGAATGTACATGTAGCTCGCCTTGGAAGGAAACTAGTTTGTCAACTTCTAATATCAACTGTCCACCCAAAATAACCATGTTATATTTGTCTCATGCTATACAGTCAAACGCCTTTACAACAAGGTCCTAATTGGGACTTTACAAATTACCTTGTTATAACAGGTAGCTTGTATTAACAGTAATGGAAAACAAAGAACAACAAAGACTTGGGACATAAAGTTTGTTTGTTATAAGCAGGATTTTGTAAACAGATCTCTTCTTCGCAAACATTCCATCTTATAATAGATCTCTTCTTATCAGGGTTCGACTGTACATTGTACATGTACCTCATACATTTTTTTGAGAATCTGAAACTTGTCCTGCTCACCAGAAGAATATTGCTCAACCTCAGAAAAATTCAATTCTATTTGCAATTTACAGTACATGTAACTCCCAAGAGTTTCTACCGCATTGTGGACAATTCTTTTTTTTAAGCATCTTTATCGTCACAATATTCTCCAGTTGGGCATCATTGAGCTCATGAAAATGCTAATTAACATAAACATACATAAACAAAAATGTGCTACCATCTTTTCAAGTGAAGGTACACTATAGTATACAACGAGGTTCGGGCATGGCTACGACACTCGTGCGATAGTTCCACAATATCTTCGTAAAGCGCATGCCTAGTGGACTATTGTACGGGTAACATCTTCCAAAGTCTACTACGCATACCCATGCTTATTTGACCTGTGCATGAACACTCGCATGCGCTGCTTGCGCACTTGGTAAACAGCAAATAGTGGCTGGCACGTGTGTACATGTGTACATACTATAACTGAATGGACAATGGACATGTGAGAATTCGGCTCTCGATCATGTATGTATGAGGTATACATGTAGTAAGAAGAGATGACAACCCCATTGAGTGTCCTTTTGTATTATTATTATTAGTATTATTTCTTTTTGGTTATTATACAGAGGTACCATTTAAATATACTTGATAGGGTGTCACTAAAAAAAATAAACTGATGAATGTGCGAATGGGAATAAACAAACGAGTAGTGAGCAAATCTTTCTCACAAGTTCACAAGTGTTTTCAAGAAAAACATTGTTTGGGTTCACAAAGTGAACACAGCAAACCTTTAAACTGAACAGTGTCTTTCTGAAATGACGACACAGCAACAGAACCCAGTTGTCCGGAACTGAATGGATATAATGTCCAGTTTTAAATGTTTTAATGCCAATATTTTAACCACTCCAACATAACTACACAAAATCAAATTGCATGTTTTGTAGGAATTTGTCGGAATTTGTCAGAGTGAGCACTGGGTTTGAGTGAGTATGAGTGAGTATGTGTTTAGATTCCAACAGTTTTATAGAGTTTACCATGGAAATAATTTATGAAAATTAATAGGACTGCAGCAAACCTAACTATACAAATGAAAAAAAAAAACAATTAATGAAGCGTGATGTGCGAACTTAACACGTTCTTCTTCAGAGGAAAAATACTTCCTCCAGTACCTCAAGCAGCAACACGCCAGCATCAGCTTCACCGTGGAACAGGAACGAGGGGCACCATACTATTCCTTGAGGTCAAGAACCCAGATGGCAGCCAGAGACACAGCATCTACAGGAAACCAACCCAAACCCACCGCTATCTCCACCAACGGTCATGCTATCACCCCGGCATTAAGTCATCAGTCAACAGGACCCTACAAAGAGCCTTCGATGTCTGTTACCAAGACAACCCCAAGCATGAACTCGAGCACATCCAGGCTTCACAACAACGGAATGGCTACAAAACCAACTGCATCAAGATCAGCAAACCTGACCAACGGGTTCCTCTATCCAAGGTCCTTCCACTGTATCTCCCTCAGTCACTCTTCACTACATAGGTCCAGCCTCTCATCACTGTCAACACAACCTCCGAGAAGCCAGTGTCAGGTTGTTCCACTCATCAGGCAACAAGCTCCAAGGCACCCTTCACGCCCACAAGGACAAGCGGGACTCTTACTCCAAGCTGATGTAGTCTACCGAATTCCATGTGAATTCGACAGTCTACATACATGTACATCAGGGAAACTGGTCGGAAACTTTCCATCAAAATCATTTAATGATCACTCATTACTCACTGCTCCGTCGACCCAAGTGGCTGCTTGAGACGAATGCAATGACGCACACGCCAAACATTCGACTTCTCATGCAGCTAGCGAGCTCATCCGTTGTCTCAACCCCTGTATCATCCTTCACCGTCATGACCATGGTCTTGATTGGCCTCCCTCTGCTTGGTTTCCCGTGCTTTGGTTCCCACAGTATCACCCGACTTGCTGGCAGCCCAGAGTACTGTAGCAACTAGTGCCCAGCAGGCTGAGACCTTTGGCAGGTTGCCATAGAGCTCATTGTTTGTCATATTATGGGTCTTCCAGCTGACGTACATGTACTGTGCCATCCTGAGCATCCAGGTGTCGCACCCATCAAGTGACTTGGTCTGGGCTACCTTGAAAGAAGAATCGTCTCATCCGCTTGGGAGTATCAATTAACCCCTCTTTAATTTGACTTCCTTTGACTTCCTTTGACCGTCCTTACCATGCATGGTCTTGATTGGCCTCCCTCTGCTTGGTTTCCCGTGCTTAGGTTCCCAAAGTATCGCCCGACTTGGTGGCAACCAGGGTGTTTAATTGTCTGTAGCAGTGCCCAGCAGTCTCAGACATTTTGACTTTATACCTTTGCCGCCCGAGACCTTTGGCAGGTTGCTGTAGAGCTCGGTGTTTGAAATTGTAATATGGGCCTTCCAGCTGACGTTCTGCGCCATCCTGAGCATCCGGGTGTAGCACCCATCGAGTGACTTGGTCTGGGCTACCTTGAGAGAAGAATCGTCTCATCCCCTTGGGAGTATCAATTAACCCCTCTTTAATTTGACTTTGAATGTAAAAAATATGCTCTCAATAGTGAGATACGGTAGCTACTTCTGTCCAAAAGTGAGGTGGAATAAGTCTCTGTACTGCCGACGTCACACTTTGTTACATTTGTGTGCTTTAGGGGAGCCTGTGGGGGACAACCTATACGTTTCGTAGCCCCATAGAAAAGCGCACAGGTGAAATGTGATGTCATCAGTACAGAGATTTATCATGGTGGAAAAAAACCAAGCATGTGTTTGCACTGTTCTTAGTTAGAAGAGAATTGAGGAGGGTAACATCCAGGCCTGGTGATGATGCTTCCATAGTCGGAAGTATTCGGCACAGACATCTAGTCCGGCGCACTGGAGTTCATGCACATATTCAGTCGGTTATATAGATTCACTGAGCGGGGAAGGAGCTGAGCTGATGTGTTCCTACATGTGAGAAACCATTCCTTTGAGCATGCTGTGGTGAAGCCTTTTTAGAAGAGTAATCTACACAATCGTGATAGGATACACACTTGTGAAGCCTTCTCAAAACTATGTACTGTAACAGTATTCTTCACCGGCACAACAGTTTTCACACTGGTGCGGAACCATTTGTTTTGTATGAAGTGTGGCAAAGCCTTTACTTTTCCAGAGTACTTTACGAGCACCTACAGATGCACAAGAGGGACAAACCACTCATTTGTGCAACTTGTGGTGAAGCGTTTACCTTACAACATGAACTACGAAAACATGAAAGGCCACACAGGAGAAAAGGAGAAAAGGAGAAAGCGTTTTGTTTTGTGTATTTCGAGAATCTTGTTACTGTCATTTACAAGGAAAAGTTTCTCACGTTTTACAGTCACTTCGCCCATTTTCCACTTCCCACAACCGATTCGCCCATAACCACTTCGCCCATTTGCCACTTCGCCCACTGGGGTCCGCTCATACATGTATAATAGTCCGACGCCTTATAGGTCCGACGCCTCATAAGTCCGACAGAATTGCACCCCCTAATAAAATAATTAAAGGCCCACAAGTCAGACGCCTCATAGGTCTGACGCCTCATAAGTCCGACGCCTCATAGGTCCAACAGCCTCATAAGTCCGACAAATTAAACGCCTCGTTTTTTTCCGAAGACTGACTTGTGAGGCGACGGACTTATGAGGCGTCGGACCTATGAGGCGGAATAAATAAATTATGCCTCATAAGTCCGATGCCTCATCCGTCCCTAATTTCGGACTTATAGGCGTCGGACCTATGAGGCGTCGGACTTATGATACGGCCCCTGCCCACTACCATTTCGCTGAAGTGTCACTTCGCCCATTTACCACTTCGCCCAAGTATCACTTCGCCCAAGTATCACTTCGCCCATTTACTACTAAGCCTATTTACCGCCTCGCCCACCCCCATGTTCGTACGTACGTACGTACGTACGACCGACGTACGTGGGTACACTGAACTAATTCAAGTGAGAATTTCTACGCGAGTCATTAGCATTAAAAGTGCCCCCGCAATAATTTAATTTTTGTTTGAGAAATCCCGGTGGTGTTGGCTTGCATGATCAGCTGTAGCCTTATCATGACGTGGCGCATTTCATTTTTTTTTTTATCTGGGACCCACTTTTGTCATGTCCCCGCTTTAACCCTAACTCTCTAGGGGGTGTGCAACATCATATTGAAATTGGAGGATTCAAGACTGTTAGGGATAGACATGATAACATCTATGATTCATTATGGATGTACTCATTAAAGTATCCCTTCTCATGTGAAGCAAACCACACACCCATTACCCTTACAAAATTTTATGAAGTGATCTGAACCGTCTTCCTGAAGTGCAAAAGGCTAAAGTTCATCCAACAGGAGCAGGAGAAAATTGTCTCCCAGACCCAAAAATGTAGGCCGTATTTATTGCTTACAGACATAATTTTACCGATCAAAATGAAAGCATAGGGTGTAACCCTCGGTAGTTCCGTCCCGCTCCGTCTAAAGACACAAATACCTCTACCAGTGACTTCATCCATCCAGTTATAATGTCGTCATACGTATACTACACGTCACCTATCCTTTGCTGCTCCATGCCCTGTCGTGCTCTATCTTCTGCCATTGTCCCTTCCGTCACGGTATGCCCTCTCCTTTTGTCTCACCCCACTTAAAACAATTCAGCACGAATTGATAAAAAAAAAATCTTTTAAAAGTTTAATTGGGTTGATCCAGGTTTGGGTCAAGGGAGGGGTTTATAAAGTGACTGAAGTCCATGAGTGTTCAAACCATACACTGCATGTACAATGTACTGTAGTTCATAATTATATACAACCAAATATTTATCATCACATCGATGTTTAAGAATGTTGTCCCACTCCACTCCATCATTATGCATTATAGTTCGACGAAGACTATTCATGTGTTGCTTTTTTTAAATCATTACAATAAGTTTGAATATGCCGCATGTGTTAAAAAGAGCTTGCAGAGGGCGCTGTTTTGTTCTTGCAGTCTAGTGCAGTTTTAGGCGATCTACGTACATTCCATGCAATCTGTGCGTGCACTCATCATGGCCCGTCTTACCTGATTAGTGATATCGCCATAGAATGGCTTCTCAACCAGTAAATATTAATGGTTTGAGCTAGCCCTTTTGCCGAAATTATGTAAGTTCTATGATGACTTACATCATAAATGTAAGTATGACAACAATGACATCGATGATTGTAGCCCCATAAATGTGGCCTATTTACTAGCTGGAGTTACCCAGCCCTGAGTTTTATCATTACAACCCAATGATAAAACTCAGGGCTGGGTAACTCCAGCTACCTATTTACCATGTTTACTGGACTGCCTCCGTAAAACATAGGCCACACATCCACATGTACAAAAACGTGTCGCACTTTGCCAAATTTTGATTTTTACATTTAGACTTAGTTTGTAGGATTTTTTTGCTTTATAAGCATACTCACCCTCTTTATAGGCTACTCAGAAAGTGCTGCCTTTTTCAGATGTCTAATTTTTGTGAAATTTCATGTTGAAATTTTGATATGCAAACGTGTAAAAATGAATCTGGAAATTTCACGAAAAATATACATCTGAAAAAGGCAGCACTTTCTGATTAGCCTATAAAGAGGGTGAGTATGCTTCTAAAGCAAAAAAACCTACAAACTAAGCCTTAATGTGAAAATCTAAATTTGGCAAAGTCGACACGTTTTTTGTACATGTGGATGTGTGGCCTATGTTTACGTAGGCAGTCCAGTAAATAGGCCACATTTATGGGGCTACCCCTACCCCTCCCCGGGCTGAACCACCTAACATTGCTTAAGATGTGGGGATTGTCACTTTTAAAGTGACAAAATCCCCACCCCTCGGGCAAAATTTAAGTGACAATTCCCGACCATGCCCCGACATTCATACGTGGGGCACACTAGTGATTGCCTTTCCAGTTAGTATGCCAAGAAGGGGGGGGGGATTTGATAGGCGCATAATAGCTTAGGCAATGTAGACTATGATGATGAATACATGTCCATGTACATGCGTACAGTGTTGGTACCAGCTGGGTCATGTGGGTAGACACCATCATCAGCTCGTGCAGTATGGAGGGAGTATGCTGTGTTTTACATCATGATAAGTGGCTGTTGTTTATGGCATCGTAATGTGATTTTCATCTGCTATCATTATGGCATGAGCTGTTTCATGGATAGCCAGCTTTGTTTGGGGTCGCGTGATAATTTCAAGGGATTAAACAATAGAAATATGTCCCGTCATCAGATCTGATCATGTTCAGGTTATGGCATTATGCGACATGTATTTCCCCCTCTTAAAAATGGTTGCCCCTCAGGCCCCCACCCCCCTCCCCCTGGAAATTTGGCTAATGGAGAATAACACAGTCCTTTAACTTTAAGTAACCATGATAAGCAGGTTTAATAACAGAAAGTACCCTTTTTTTACAAATGTTTTTCAAGTGTCAAGGAGGGTTAAAACAAATTGTAAGATGTCTTTTCTTATTTGTTTAATGTGAAGTTTCTTTAAACTTCCCTGGTACTGGTATACTTCACCTTGACCAATTTTAACCCAAGTACTAACAGCATGGCTCAGAATGCATGTTTCCATAAGAGGGTTAAAAAGATGTCTTTTCTTATTTGCTTCAGGTGAGGTTTCATTTGATTCATTGGGGATGTGCCATTGCAGATTATGCAACACCTGAATAAATCCCCGTCATCTGATTGGTGAATTGTAAATCACGTGACATATTATTATTCGGTATAATGCACGGTGCAACCATGCGTTATACCCATGCGTTATACCATTTCACTTTGCGCTTGTTCCATGACGCTACAGCGTTGGGTTCAAACATTTTCGTGAAGGGGTAGTTCAACATCTTTAAATCAAAATAAATTGTAGTTTATAATTTACCAATCAAATGACGAGAATTTATTCAAGTGTTGTATAAAACAAATAACGAATGTTTATGAGTGCAATGGTAAGAATAATTTCATTCGGTGACAGATTGAATGTTCTATTCCACTCGGCTTCGCCTCGTGGAATAGAACATTCAATCTGTCACCTCATGAAATTATTCTTACCATTGCACTCATAAACATTCGTTATTTGTATACTATCGCCTGCTGTGCGTGCGAGTGGCCCACTATAGATTAAATCATGCAGCATTGAGAAGTACCCGATGCACACCAAACACACTGCAGATGAGGACAAGTGTGTAGTACAGCAGTAATTTGAACCTTGAACTAAACTCCGTCTGTTTTGTCGTTTGTGTTTTCAACACAGTCTCCAGAGGTGGCAACACTGACAGCAGATCATCTGAAAGGTGAAGATTTTGAATCAGTCATGTGACTTGAGGAGAGAAACATCCATGCTCAGCTCCAGTGATGATTCTTCCATAGACTGTAGGCCCCTGGTCTTCTGTAAAGATGGATGATTGCAGAATTTGACGGGATATTTAGACTGCCAGCAAGAATAAGCACTTCAGATAAAAAATGGACGCAAAAGGATCTGAGCTGATTGGTGACCAGAGGGTGCATGAGGGTGATGAACCATTCGTTTGTGTGACTTGCGGGAAAGCCTTCTCTTGGCAAAGTGATCTACATGCACATGAAAGGGTGCACACGGGTGAGAAACCATTTGTGTGTTCAATCTGTAGTGAAGCTTTAACTTGTCTACGTAGTCTTCGTCGACATGAGAAGATTCACACTGGTGAGAAACCATTTGCTTGTGCCACCTGTGGTAAAGCTTTTACCCGGCAAAGTGATCTTTGCAGACATGACAGGGTTCACACTGGTGAGAAAACATTCGTTTGTGCAACCTGTGGTCACGCCTTAACTTGTCTACGTAGTCTTCGCCGACATATGAGAATTCACACTGGTGAGAAACCATTCGTTTGCGATACCTGTGGTAAAGCTTTTATTCAGCAAAGTGATCTTTGCAGACACAACAGGATTCACACTGGGGAAAAACCGTTCGTTTGTGCAACCTGTGGTAAAGCATTTACTCAGCGAACTGATCTGCACAGACATGACAGGGTACACACTGGGGAGAAACCATTTGTTTGTGTAACCTGCGGTAAAGTTTTTACTCTGCTGTCTAATCTGAACAAACATGAGAGGGTTCACACTGGTGAGAAACCATTCAAACCGTTCGTTTGTGAGACTTGTGGTAAAGCTTTTACTCATCCAGATGGTCTAAACAGACACGACGTGGTTCACACTGGTGAGAAACCGTTCGTTTGTGAGACCTGTGGTAAAGCTTTTACTCGGCAGACTGGTCTAAACAGACATGTCGTCGTTCACACTGGTGAGAAACCATTCATTTGTGAGACCTGCGGTAAAGCTTTTACTCGGAAATCTTGTCTGAACAGACATGTCATGATTCACACTGTTGAGCAGCCATTCTTTTGCGAGATAAGTGATAAAGCTGGGTCTTCAACCATTGAGTCATGTAATGACACGTACACAGGTCCACATGGCTGCCGATAAACCATTTCAGTGAAATCTTGATAGGTCCAACCTCAAGGGAACAGGTTAAAAATTTGACAAGCAGCGTTTTGAGTTAAGCAGGGTTGTATATCATTGTTATACATGTACTATTGAAGGCAATGGATTCTTTGTTTGAATAACAGTTGTTCTGAGTTATCAGATTTTGACTTGTCAAGATTTCACTGTATTTAAAAAACAAATTGCCAGGATGCTTAAAGTTTTCATAATTATTTGAACTCAGTTTTAAGATGATCAGACATTTTTCTGTACATTGTTTATTAACTAATATTTAGTTGCGTTTAATTTAAAAAAGGAAATATATAAAGAGCGATATGAGTAAAACTTCAGTTCTAGAAGATATTTTGTTTAAGTGCAATGGTAAGAATAATGTCATGCAGTGATAGATACAGGTAAAATGGAACATTCTCCCTGTCTGTCACAGAATGAAACTACTACATGTGTATCCATTTTTGTGGGGATTAATTATAAACACATTAATTTAGTTGTGTTGAATTTACTAAAAAATAGATAAAAATAGATATGAGTAAAACTTCAGTCATATTGTGTTCAAGTGCAATTTGTAAGAATACTTGTACATGCACATGCAGTGTCGTGATCAAGTGATGGATGGAATGTCTGTCACTGAATGAAGCTATTTTATCCATTTTTATGTATGTACATTATTTATTAAAGGGAAAATACAACATTTGCAAACATCAAAAAATAAAACTACCAAATCATTTTGAAATACCTTGCTGGACTGGTAGTGAATGACAGTGTAAAGCATCCTGTAAAATCAGGGCACCTGGTATACTGTCATTTTCAAGAAAAGTGATATTTTTGTATCAATTTCCAACGCTGGTCGGCCGACCAGCGTTGGAAAAAACTGGTTTTTTTTTTTAAACTGGCCCCAATTGACCATCGCACTTGTTTGCAATCGATTACACACCTATATGAACGGGTACAAGCCAGCTAGACAGGTTCCCTGACCTTACAATTCCCCAATGTATGTAAACTGCTCTGTTTCTTCTGATTTGGAGTCAGGGAACCAGACTACAGGAAAATGATATTTTTTCTTGATTTTATAGCATTTTCGAACCTAAAACCTCAAAAAAGTCAGTGTATCTATATTTGCTATATATTTCCAACCCCCCGATTCCAACCATTTCTGAAAATTACAGCAAAAGCAAATGATGTATATTCCCTTTAACAGTTTATGTTGTGTTGAATTTAAATAGATAATAGATGTCCTGAAGATATTGTGTTTAAGTGCAATGGTAAGAATAATTTCATGAGGTGATAGAATAGAACATTCACCCTGTCTGTCACTGAATGAAACTATTCTATCCATAGCACAAATGTGAAAAAAATTATTATTTGTTTTATACAACACATGAATAAATGCCCTCTGATTGCCCTCTGATTGGTCAGAGCCTAAGCTTCCAGGAAAAAATGGGGACTGAAAGTTATTCCTAAAATTCCAGAATACGTGACAATTCCATCTTGATGTGTTCATAATTGTAATCAAATGCATGAATTTAAGTTTTAATAAATACGGTGTGGATAAGTGATTTAAGTTAAAGCATGCCTTTCTCCTCCTTGTAAATGAATTTCCCAAGGTCATCATTCTCATGTTTAAAGCTTACTGGAAACCAGCTCCTGCTTACGTCACGGTCATGCTCCAAATTAATTCTCAAACGGAGACGACTTCAATAATCAACCTCCTGTTCACTGCACTTTGGGTTGAGCCCAGAACCCATTGTGTTTCCTTTGCTGAAGGATAATTTTCTGTATACGGCCCCAGAATCGGGGCCGTATCATAAGTCCGACGCCTCATAGGTCCGACGCCTCATAAGTCCGAAATTTCGGACCTATGAGGCGTCGGACTTATGGGCCTTTATTTGGTTAGGGGATGCGATTTTGTCGGACTTATGAGGCGTCGGACCTATGAGGCGTCGGACTTATGAGCGGACCCCCCAGAATCTGGAACAAACTTCCTAAATACATTAGAGACACCACCTTACTGCAGTCATTCAAGACACCCCTGAAAGCTCACCTGTTTCAGGAGGCGTACCATCAATAATTACTCTTCATTTGGTGCCCCATCAACTTTATGAAATGTCTTTTGATTGATTGATTGATATCCTGTTATAATAATAATAATAATATCTAATTCTTGTATAGCGCCAAATCCGTCAAAATTGACGCTCAAGGCGCTTCACAGAAATAAAAATGAACAGGTTAAAATTTAAGAATAAACTAAAACTTATACAAGACAAAACCTATAAAATAACTATAAAATAATATGGTTGATAAAAGACAGCCAAACTGTCAAGATAGGCAATAAGAATAAGACAAACAGGCAATTAAAAATTGACGCACAAGGCGCTTTACATAAATACGGATATACCAGTTAAATTTTAAAATTTGTTAGAGCTAATTTTATGGAGATACTTAACAAATATTGCGTAGCCACATTTTTGTGCTTACCTGTAGCTAAAACTGGTAGACTTCCCATAACATAACATTTTGGATAGCAGTGGGTTCTTGTTAAAGGGCAATACGGCCTGAAATACCCAAAAATGTCATGTTTTGGATTGTTTAACTTGTCCTATGGCAAAGGTTTGGTTGAAAAGAAACTAACCTAATGTTGCTAACTGTTCGTGAGCAAAGACGAATAAACCGGTTGTTAACCTCTGATGACGCGGCTGACGTTTTGTAGCATTATGTATGTACGTATTCCCAGCTCTGTCCATGGAACTTACGATACACGTTGTGTATGCTTGTATGTCAGTGCTGCAGAATCACGACTATTGACACCCAACAGCTCGATTTTTGAGAGCAAAATGTTTGACCCCCGAAATTTGTTCTCGCAGGAATAACCCAAAAACGACACTAAAAGGAGATTGCGTGGAGGATAATACGTTGTATCCTACTTTACAATGCTCTTTCGAATGAACATCATTTTGTTTAAATCTCATTTTTGAGACAAATTGGGCGGATTTCAGGATGTTATGTCCCCTTAACTAAGCAAATCTTGTAAAAAGACGTATTACATGTGTATATCAGCAAATTAACAAATTATAGTGCCGTCATTTACAAGCCGTCATCACAGCACATTAAAGGCAACCGAATCCGAAAACATACTCTTTTAAACCAAATAAAGCAATTTACACGTACATTTCCATCGACCAAACAAAAATTCTTTCAGATCATGAGAGGTCGGGGTCGGGGTACTTTGTATAGGCCTATAATATTAGATGTTGTGATTGCATGGCCGCACTAGTCGAATCATTATGTTAGGAATATTTTTAATGAATGCCTAATGTGCTACAAAACAAATTATGTGTAAATGTTTATAATTTTGCCTTCTCCCCCTTCTATTATTTAGGATGGAGTAATCATCAGAGTGTGATGGCATTGATAATTGCAGCAATAATGCGCCGCAGCACCTTGTAAACCCTTATAAGGTGCAACATAATGGGTCTCATAATGTTCATATACTTCATTTACCTGGCTTGGTTGCATTCTCCCCCAGCGCTTTGTATCCTCTGGCAAAAAGCGCTATATAAATACAGTTATTATTATTATTATTATCATTATTATAATACCGAGGGACTTGTTCTCAAGTCTAAATAATATTAGATGTGGCAACCATGGGGGTTTCCCTAAAAAAAACCTGGTTGCGCAACGCATGGGCCTGCCAACAACTATTGGAGTATTGCCAGGTTGTGTATTGTGCTTTATTTGAAATTATCCTAACAATTGTTATGAAGAACAAGAAGGGCAAATAAGGTTGAAAGCCCACTGGATCGTGGACATAAATGTGAGCTCTATCACCGTGTACATACATGTATATTGGCTATATAGCTGCGCTGATCAATACATGCGCTAAAGGTCTGTTCTGCTTCCAGGGAATTAAGTTATTAAATAACCCCTGGAATTGAAACTGTCCTCCTTTCCTGAACAGGGTGAGGGCCCCCCCCCCCCAAAAAAAACCCACCCCCCCAAAAAAAACAACAACAACAAAAAACAAGAAACCAAATTGCGGGACCATTGTTTCAGTGAAGCTTTTCATGTAGCACTTTCATAAGAATCATTCAAGTCACTCATGTAATTTGCAACCTCAAAATTACTGGGTGATTTGAATGATTCTTGTACTAAAAGAAAGCTTATAAATTGGGCTTTTAAATCCTAGATTTTGAAAGTGCTACATGCTGAACTTCACTAAAACAATAGTCCCGACAATTGGGTTTCGTTCTTTCTTTCTTTTTTCTTTCTTTTTTTTGACTCACCAGGCCTGTATTCTGATCATAGTCCATGCACAAACAGCAATTAGTTGATTTATATCGTGTACCTTGGTGTTTTTATTTCCACTCCACTTCAAAACAATGCCCCCCTTCCATTTTGCTTATAATATGTAATGTGACTCTGCATATTACTGGTTAAGATGGTAATTTCATGTTAACTTTGAATTAATTCTGTTCTACTCCCAGACACTGCATACAAAAATAAACGCTGATTTAATAGGCAGTCACCAGATTAATAGACAGTGCAAGATGTTTGAACATGCAAATGATCCAATACCAGGGGGACAGAGCTGGTTGTAGTGGGAGCGTACTGCTCGACACCATGGGAACGAGGTCGGTTGCAGCATTGTTGCGGCCATCTCGTGACTGACTGACAAAATAGCGTCAAGTTCACGGTTGAATAGTTAAGTGTCTGAGTGTAGTTGTATATGTGTGTTACAAAAGCATTATTGTGTGCACGATACACAAACACGTATTTTTTCCCATGAGTATATTTTTACCGAAATTACAGTCCCAGTTCACTATGTTGTGTCTGTTCTAAAGACGGCAGGACTCAAGTGTAGCATTCACTGAAAGACGTTTATTAACAGCCCGTAATAACGTCATAGAATATGGATACGGTGGCCGCGTAATGTCACTCCATAACAGTGTCCAATGATGATACGACACTTTTTACCTCTCCAATGACTTGTACTGAAAATCATGATGGAGTTGGATGGAAACATCTTGAAGGCGTCCAGCGGCAACTGCGAGACCTGGGTCAGCATTTGAGAAGCATAAAACTGCAGCAAGATGGAGGGGAAAACATGGAAAAGCAGACACTGTGCGTGACTGCGATTGGGCACAAATCACGCAGATTGCCAGGTAATAGACTTCTGGATTTGATACGTTTGAAAGACAATGACGAAAAAGGCAAATATAATCAACGTATAGCCCGATATAGTCTTGGTACAAAACTGACATTTAGATATTGTCCTATAAGTTTGATAAAGTTTCACCGGCCGATAGTTGACTTCAACAAATCCAAATTCCAGAACCTCTGCAATGTAGTACCACCAGGCAAGTGCGAACATCCTCATGCGCCTTATATCTTGAATACAGCGCGTGTGAGGTATGCTAGAAGCCTCTTTGAAAGCACTGCGATGAAGTTCCCATTGGTTTTAATTCATTTGTAGTTGGTAACCAGAACAATTTCCATAACTTTTGGTCTCATTACTATGGGCCTTATTCACGAGTCGGCCATGATATTGGATTGAGAGTGAGATAAAATCTTGATTTTTGGAAATTGTGTAGAGAAATGAAAACAAGTTAATTTATAATAAATTCCAGTCTGCCTCAATGAATAATTTCAAATTTGTAAATAAACAAACCCTAATGTTTAAAGCCAGATTTAAAAAAATGACGGTAAAATATAGCTGCATTTTGTCTGCATAAATAATCTGGCGCCATCCCATTCAACAGTTAACAATTTATAAAATACATTCAGGGATCTCGACACAAATGGCCAACTCGTGAGTAAGGCACATAGGCCTATTCCTGGGTCCAATATAAGGGGAAAGTGCATTTTTCTCCTTAAGAATATAAAGTGTTTTGCAAATTATTCTTCAGTTAATTTGAAAAGCAAACATGCATATTACGGTTATTTCTCCATGATTTTAATTACTTAAGTTTAAATGTTTTCGATTAAAATTGGTGGGTTTTTTTTATATGCATCTGAATTACATTGAAACTTGCACAGTTTCGTGAGAGCATCGTGTAGTTATTATTTACATTCGACTCAGTATTGAAATCCATTAGGACTGTTTCCTAAATTATTTAATGTAGGAAAGAACAGAGTCGTTTCCACAAAAAGGAGAAAGAATACAAGATCGATCCAGCAACCAATCACAGTCAACGTCAAGTTAGTTTACTACCCTGTCGTCCTGACTAACAGCCCTGTGAATTTGGGAGACAGTTCGGGACACAATTACTCTTACGGCAGTTGTGACTGTGAAAATCAAGGTGAGTATTGATTTTAATACAGATTGTTAAACGATCAACCTCGAAAAAAATATGTTTGTGACAGTGCTTGAGAAAAAGCTATACAGTCCTGGTTTGTCTGTCAGCGCCCCGATTTACTAGCACGGCGTTCAGTGCATTGTCCAGTTTTGCGTTTGTCCAGTCGCTTTGCGTATGACGTGAGCTGTTGAGGTTCTGTACTGTGCAGAGTTGTAATGACTCGAGTCCGACTCGAGTCACAATTTGTCGGTGACTCGACTCAACTCGAGTCCCTGAGGGTAAATGACTCGGCTCGACACGAGTCACTGTGAGCAAATGACTCTACTCAACTCGAGTCCCTCACCAGAAGACTCGACTGGACTCGAGCAAAGGCAGACTCGAGTCCCAAAAATGAGCAAAACTTTGCGAAAAATATTTGCAATGACTTAATTATTTTATACGGTGCAAAAGGTATGTTCACGTCACTATGCAAATACAGTACGGTATACGCTTGTCGTGTACAAACATATTGTAACGGGCGCAAAATCACTGGTTCAAGTACTAGATGACTAGACAAGAATTCTGACTGGAGAGATCGTGTTCTTCTTCAAATAATAATAACGGTTTTATTATCTTCCAATACTGTTGGCACACACCGTGCCCGATGCGTATAATCTAATGTCTATGTGGATAACGATGAGGCGGAGCGCCAATGTGCATTGCAATCGAACGTTGAGTACGACGCGCTCCTTCTTCTATGTGAAGTTCCTCACCGGGCCAGAACCAGTCACGATCTGAACCCCGAGCCCCGACTTGGCTCGTCTTTTATAGCGTTTGGGCGCGTACATAACGCAAGGAGCTAGCGCATCATAACAAAATGCCTCTTGCAATGCTCTGATTGGCCGTAAACCACTGCGCCAAATATTATTCTTATTCATAATAATCATAGCGTCTTGACTTATAAAGCTTCGATGAATTAAACTTGTACAAGTCATTTCATTTAACAGTTATTCTACCATTAGTTTATCATAGGCCCTATTATCAGTACACAGTCAACTGTATTGGCATTAATTCTTCTCATTGAAATACAAGTTGTTAACTTTAAACTTATCTTCTTATCTTCCGTATGTCCTGTCAATTAAGTTTATGACAGGAACCTGTATCTTATCAGAGTGAAGAATAAAGTGTGCTAACTGGAAATTAATCATGACTTGCATTTTCGTTACATTCTCCCCAACTTAAGACACAAATGCGCCCTCGCATTTAACTACGAATGAACCAAATAAACGTTAACGAAAATGCATGTGTAATTAAACTACCTATGACTTGACTGCACCAGGCAGTCTTACAATGTTCTCAATAAAAGAATCATATTTGGTATCTTATGCCAAACTCACGGCTTATAAAGTCCTGTCACTTTAATTTAGAATTGTCCGCCACGCTGAAAGTAATTTATGCACCCCAAGATATTCTAACAGTCGTGCTCAGCAATGTCCAAAATTATTTCAATACAATAAGTAGGCCGCAACAACATATCCGCAATAATACACATTTAAAGAAAACTAGAAATGGTCCGCAACAAATATCCTCAACAATAATAAATAAAACTAGAAATAGTCCGCAACAAATATCCTCAACAAATATCCTCAACATTAATAAATAAAACTAGAAATAGTCCGCAACAAATATCCTCAACAATAACAAATATACCTAGAAATAGTCCGCAACAAATATCCTCAACAATAATAAATAAAACTAGAAATAGTCCGCAACAAATATCCTCAACAATAATAAATAAAACTAGAAATAGTCCGCAACAAATATCCTCAACAATAATAAATAAAACTAGAAAAAGTCCGCAACTCTGAATATCCTCAACAAAACGTTTACTTAATCTAAATACATGTAACTTAATCTCTACTTTTGGAAAAACCATTCTGATGTTTAAATCAGCAGCAGCATCACAGTTTTCAAACATCGTCTAGTTTCCGTAGTCTGTACAACTAACATGACAGTCATTATTGAATCCATGTACATTTATAAACATCGTGCAGAACAATTTACTAATTGCGCACAAATATTTATCTTTGTCCTACATACATCAAAGATACATGTCTTCTACAAAAACGAACTGTTCTTGTGTCTACCATACTGAACAGACACAATTTCCGTCTGACGTTACTTTTTCAACTTCAAACAAAACGGCAAATTTTCTTACCGCAGTTCTACTCGAGCCGTATACACTACATGGGTACACAGGCCAAGCTATAGGGCGCCGCCATTATGCTATTCGCGCCTCGACTTTTGAGGGCGCTACACACATTATTAAAGAAACATGCGTTTCGGACGCATCACGTCCAAAAGCGGCAGGCTACTTCTATTAAAAATTTAAACTCCCCAAATTTGTATTTCAAGACCCATTCTTCACTGTGTTCGTTTTTGTACCAACTCGTATCTTACCAAATCTTCTCTAATGATCACTCGGGAACCTCTGAGGTTGGCTGACCCTGGTACCGGCTAGATAAGATAGCTCCATCGATGAACTCTAAAGCTGAGGGTGGCTGACCCTGGTGCGCTGGATAGCCGGGCTAGATAGCCCCATCGATGAACACTTGATGATCTTGTGCGGAATAACTCGATTGACTGAAATAGTTGAGGCTAACTTCCTGATGATGGTGACGACATGTCGATCCGCGCAGCTGCATTATTAGACTGGTAGACCCGGCATTGTATTTTACACCCCAAGCGACAAGGTGTGGTGGCTGACTTCAGATTACTCCTCAGTCGATAAAACCCAAAGGGTTCGGCGATGCAGGTACACCCCCCTGCTACACCTGGCTGGGGCAGTAGAGGGAGCTTAACCCCTCACTGGTGTTAAACTAATAACACCCCCCTCACCTAAGAAGTATAACTCTCTTGAGTTATAGGGAGCTTTACAGACTACCGGATGACGTTGTCCACGCGTGTGGGCCTCTATTGGTATGTGAAGGCAAGTTGTATTCAGTGTACTTTACCTCGTATCTCCGGCCATCCGGAAAAATGGCTGTCTCTGTTACTTGTCTCACCGTTACTCCGAAGTCGATTTCATGCAGCTGGTCCTGCCGAGACTTTGTTGTTCTAGTGGTCAACACCTGCTGCCTCATCCATGCTACTTCCCCTCCAGCCGTGGACTTGGGTTCTTCTCGTCTCGCTGCACGAAAATACCGAGGATCTGGGTTTGAAATATTGGAGATGGGAGATGTCGGCGCTTCAGTTGACGGTGCCTCCGCTGGTACTGGTATGCCCTTCGACGTCCTCTCTTCTTCTTTGATTCCATTCAATATTTCGGCAGTCGCCTGCTCAAAATCATCCACCATCCATTTCCTCATAGAGGGGGTGGGGCTGAGGGGCTCGTAGGTAGGCGACGGTGGCCTTGGTGTCTCCATTGACACCAAAAGCTCCTCGAGCTCAGACCGACTATGACGACTTCTTCTTTCTTCTCTGGCTTTCTGTTCGCCTCTGTCTCTTTCTGCCTTTGTTTTCTGCTCGACCCTGTCTTTCTCTTGTCTTACTTCCCTTTCATCCCTGCCTTTACATCTTTTTGGCGTGTAGCCCGGCCTTGGCCTCCACCACCCTCCTCTCTTGTTGTAATTGGTTGGTTTGCGAAACATCTTTAACTTAGAAGAAGAAATTATACGTGTTGTCTCGTTGCCTTTGCAATGTGAAGTGTGACGCAGCGCGTCTTGTTCGTCACGTCCAGTCTAACGGTTTTCAAGACGCACGTCCAACGCGCACATACTTAAAAAAAAATCTGCGTTTTGCGTATTTGCGGCATGCGTACGCGCATGCTTCGAGTACTGGTCACTGATCTCTATATAAAGACTGGATAGCGGATATGCATACAACATTCACACAGTAGACTTCGCACATTGACCAATTCGCCCCCGGTCTCACGAAGATGGCCGCGTATAATACGAACGTTCTACGCGTAAATACGCGCGCGTTGTATCAACAGTTGACACGCATTTTGGTCACGTACACATATTATGATGTTCTAAAAGGGACACATTTCCGTAGTGATTATTATTTCAAAACGCCGAAAAAGTTATATTTGCGGCATTTTAGTAACCACGACGTTAGAAAAATTGTAGTTAACCTTGATCAGTGATGGTGGTCAAAATATAAGTCAAGTGAACCGCGACGTTACGAAAGAAATCATGCTGTCTATAAAAACGGCAACATGTCCTTTGTAGATCACCAGCCGGTCTCACCAATATGGCGTCAAATTCGTACATTGTGCGGCTCTGTATTAGCTATCCAGTCTTTATATAGAGATCAGTGGTACTGGTTCATGGTTGAGTCCATTGCTGCAAAGTATTCAGTCAATTAATGCCTGGTGCTAATTACGGTATCTTTCCGGTTGGCACCTGCTCCGCTGACTTCTTCGTAGATTACTTTCTTTGTTTTCTGCCAAAGGTTTATCTCGTCGTCCAGTCCTTCGCCGCGTTGTTACTTGTACTTTCGTCGAACTTCTTTTGCTTCTGTTTTGTTCTGCAGAGTCCATCCTGACTTCTTTTTCTTCCCGGCTACATTTCGTGTCTTGTTTATTGCTTGTTTCTTTCCAAAGCCATTTGACTTGCTTGCTTCCACAATATGGCTTGAGTCGGTTACTATGTACGACCTTTGGTTTTGTCTTTGGCCCTTTCTGAAGCCTGTAAGTGACATCACTCAGCCTCTTGGTAATCAGGTACGGGCCTTCCCAGTATCTCTGCAGTTTAGGACTTATCCCTTTCTTCTTCGTTGGGTTGTACAACCATACAACATCTCCTTTGTTGTAGCCACCTGCATTTGCTTTGTGGTCATAGCTTTTCTTTTGTTTTTCTGTCGCTACTTTCAGATGTTCTCTTGCATACCGTTGTGTGGTTTCCATGTGCTCGAGTAACTTCTCTGCATACTCTGTATGTTCACTGTACCTTTCTTCTGGGGGTCGCTCAATTAGCAAGTCCGCAGGTAATTTCACATCACGGCCTAACATTAGCTCACTT